GCAAGCAATTCGTGTGGAAGAAGCATTTCACTCTCGCGAGAAAATCGGAGATCATTGTACCTCGGACCAGGAAGATCACGAATTCACGGCAGCGTGCATCATCGATTCCGCTCGCCTTGCTCGAATGAGCATCAGAGAAGGGCCAAAGACGTAGAGCTGAACCGATCGCGCACAACCGGACCACTTATCTATGCGGTCTTTGCTCTCCTCTCCATCTCTCTTCCTGCACAGTTCAAGGAGTACTCATGGTTTTAGTACATAACGGAAGCATAAAGTAAGAGAGAACCAGAGAAACTATAACGTTTATTCTAACGCGTCTCTTCCAAGAGATTTAAATCATTTTCTTCTTTCTTCACAACTTCCTTCTATTTTAGCACCACAACTGACCATCTTGAGTGCTTTTGCATTCTTTTTTCCCAACAACAATAATCTTTGGTTTACTTCCTGAGTTGTTTGACTATTATTTTAGTTTACCGTTATCACTGGAAAAACTGTGGCATTGTAAATGACCATCACAAAAGTTATTGTTGAAGATCAGTTCTAGAAAATCGTAAAAAATTTTTTCAGATTGTTTTATTAGCATCAGTTCTAGTGAATCGTCAACTTAACTTTATAACCAATGTATTACTGTACGTCATAAAGATATTAAACTACTATTTTTCCTTTTTTTTTAAATACAATTAACCATTGCAAGGATTATCATGCTGTCATGATTATTGTAAATGAGCGATGGCTTTTCATCAGCATAACTCTTTGATTTAAAATTAATCATGAGTTGAATTTACAGTGGAATAAATAAAAAGATATTGTAATACAAACCTTTGGCATACATATTAATTTATAAAATTCAATTCTCGCATGATATTTTAAATAAAAAAGAATTCATTGGAGTGAAACACAGTAATCCATCACTTGAATGTTTGAATCCCACTCAAATTCTATTAACCACCGTGCACAATTACAATTCCAAATCGATCCACATATTTAAATAGAATCAAATTTATTCGACAAGCTTTATCGGGCCTTCAATCAAATTCAAAGCAGTCTAAAAAGGTATAGACAACACAACAACGTGAAAGAGTGAAAAGAGTACGAAAGGGCACGTGCCCCTTCGCGTAACACACTGACGTACGACTGGCGTAAGAGTTCGACCCGCGATCGCTTCGCGTATTATTATTTAAAACAACCCTTCGAGCTATCGAGCAGGGGGTAGGCCAGACTTGAAATCGAGGTTTTCAAACTTACACATTAAAACCTTCGATGTATGTACACAAGCAACATATGAGGAGGTTGAGAAATTTAGTGGGGAGTTAAAAAAGTTGTTGGGGTGTATATTGGTGTACGTTTTATGTAGTTTAGCCAGGAAGGGTGAACAGCTTCGCGCGTTGACTAGGTCCAGGTGCCGAGAACCAAGCCTTTGGGGTTATGAAAAAAGGGAAATAAGGGAACGTTCTCTCCCTATATTCGTTTTCTTTTCATGAATATCTTTTTAAAAAATTATGATGAAATCTTTCATTTTTTAATATATTAAGACGTCTTTAGTTGATTATAAAATGTTTGGATGTTAGTGAATCATTAGATAAAAATGTAACGCAGATTATAATGATAAAAAGCTACTTTATATTCTTTATACACGGATCAATTTCATTGAACATATTGAGTATTGTTATTGATCTTTATTGAAAGTTTTACATTTCTAGATTTTATTATCATATTTGTGTTATAGAATATTTTTAGTTATTAGAATATTTTTTGTATTTGTGCTATTTGGTATGAATGGTCGAAACTTATCCATCTTTAAATGAAAAAATTCATAATCAACTATTGGCAAGCACATTGTAAAAAATGTCATTCAAAAAACCAAGTTTTTATCATCAACTATTACGCTTATCAGAAAATTATATGACTTGTTGTAATTACTTTGACTTAATCTCATGAAATCATTCAGCCTATGATTGGTCACGTTTTGAATGTTCACATGTAAGAATTAATTCAAAGTGATGTTTGTTTACAACTGACATAGCGGTGCTGGCGTATGTATTCCTACACCACTCCCTCAAAAATTTCAATATGGATATGTATATTATACTGAATATTGCATTTCAACAAAATAAGCGATTTAAACTTATTATTTTAATACTATACATCTCTAGCAAGAAATGAAAATTACTTAGCCACCTATCGGTAAGCATGGAACTCATAACAATACTACATAATAATTATCGAGACAAGAGAAAAATTAAATTAATGTTTAATTTAATATTTTCATACTCATTATAACTTATCGCCAGCGGACATTAATGATCTGATTTTTTCTTAGTTAACATGTTTTTGAAATCTATAAAATTCCATGCTGAATAATATTATTTTATAATATTCAAAATAATACCAAAATACTGACTATTTTTGTCCTACCCCTCATATGATCAATCCTCGTATTATGGCATATATGTGTATGGCTTACCTTTTGGAGTAATGGAGTTTTCCAAACTATTATTTGGATTTTGTAGAAAGCTGCTCTGTAATAGCTTCTTTCAAAAATTAGTTATATGGATATATTCTACTGAATATTGCTATCATCTTATATATAGCATTGAAATTTATTGGACCCTGGTAATATTTCAATGAAGAGAAGACCAGGTCACGAATGCCATCTACTGACGACTTATGAAGATATTGTTTAATTAAAATTAGTTAAATAATTATTTAAAATTTAAATGTAATGACGTAGAGAATATTCAAGCTCAATAACTACAGATAATATCAAGACATTAGAATTCTTTAATCTTTGATAAACTTTAGGGTACTGTTGATGATATTATCATCGAAATTTTAGAAACGTTATAAATAATTTAATTTCCACCATTGATTTCAATCAATGTTGAGTTTTTCAATTTTCCTTCCAATTTAGTAAGTGCAACTTTTAGTGCATATGGGGATGGTCTTGTATGTCGTTGACGTTTCTAAAATCAACGTCCACTTACTGAATATATAACAATCGAATTAATTTCTGACGACAGACGAAAACACTCACGCTTTTGACAATTGATTTTGATAATTAAATTATTCCTGTCAGGTGGTCATAACAAACGCTAAGCCGGAAGCAACTCTATTTCAATTGCAAAGTCAATGATCATTTATTAATCATTTTCATATATGCTAAAAAAACTGCTTAATTTAGAAAGTAGTATAATTCATCCGTTCGATACACTTTTATCGAATTTTATATTTTTAAAACTTCAATGTAAATTTTGTTTATTAAATAAAAATCCAAATTTAATTCATTTTAATCATTATTTATTTTTATGACAATTTGAATTGATTTGATTTTTATCATTATTAAAAATGTTAGAAATGATAGCTAATTTTTTATATTCACGAATAAACCTTAGTAATGATTTATTCATTATATTAGAGCTCTATAAATCGAATATTATAAATAATTGAATATCTATTAAAAATTGAAATAGATGATTGCATTACTCTAATTAGGTAAAACACTGCACATATTCCAAGTGACATCTTAATGAAACTAAAGTTGATCAGTGAAGAGATACCCATGAAATTAAATTACAAAAATTCAATTATAATCTATAAAATGTATATCGCTGGAATTATACTGCAGTGAGATGTCAGAGGTCTCATAGCTCTAGATATGTGCATAATTTGTGAGAGAAATGAACGCTTCCTCCTGCTTTACTAGATCTGTATACTCTCAGTATTATTCAATTCTCTAGAACATCATTTAAGCAGCTGCCAGTCTCTCGAAATTGTCAAATGGAGACACATGATGCGAAAATTTGTAACAATTACACAGTCTACAATTCTTGACAGCCTAGAAACGAATCGAAAATTCATTAGCTGTCTGATGATGAATAAACCTCTCACACTACTTTATTTTCGTACAAATAAATTTTTATTTATTTTGAAATCCTATCTCGAGCCCTTAACCCTACGTTACCTCCTTTTCCCTGCTGAATTTATTGATTACATTCTAAAAAATAGAAATAAAAATTAATCATAATATAAAAGTTAATTATAGAGCTGTAGTGATTCGAGTAATTTTTTATGATGATAAGCTTGTAAATAGAACACTTAATTATCAGAAAATCAAAATATTTTATGACACTTTAAAAAATTCAAGTAAAAACCGTTATAAAATTTGATCTCAGGAGAGAAAAGTATTGTCGCCCGTCATCTCCCCATTTTTTTCATCATTGATTGGCCCCCTTCGAGGCGTAAGAGCTACCTAATATTAACCCCGTTTCCAGAAAAAGGATCCTAAAACAGCCAACGAGTCTTTATATAAAAATGCGGGCAAAAGTAGGGGGTAAAGGGGGTAGCCTGTGGAGCAAATTCGTGAGGGGTTGCTAACGTCAGCAGAAAGCTAAAAAAAGAGAAGAGAAATTAAAGGAAGGACATAGACACAACAACTGGCTGCATAAGTTCTCTTTCTCACCCCCAGTTAAAAATTCCAAAAAATCCTATTGACGATCACCCTATCGAGGAAGGATCGCTAAACCATAGAAAGGATAGAAGGATTTTACAGAACCCCGAGGTAAAAGTGTTTTTGCTCAATTTTTACCCCTAACTTACTATTTCAAGTTATAGCTAATATAGAAAATAAGTGAGAGAAGGGCAAAAAAAGGAAAAGAATAAAAAAAACTATTGTTACTTGGACAGACATTGAATAAACCCAGGGTTTAAAAAATTATTGTTCCGTTTCACAGTTTTCGTTATTTTTTCGTAATTCATTGTATTCCACTTGGCATCATACTGATACACAGAATTATACTGTAATGGGATTTCTATCCTTTCTTTGGTTATGCATCATTTATTCGACCAACAAAAAATTAAAAAATAAACTTAAACATACATTTTTTAAAGATAACATTTTATTTGGAATTGTTTTATAGGCTATATACAAATTTTATTGATAAAAGTGATTAAAGAATTATTGGAGTTGAAGTAGAGATCTTAAAAAATTTTGTACTCTACTATAAATTCCGGTTGTATGTCTATATTTTCATGCATATAAAGTGAAGTATATTACAAATTTCTTCATGAAAATGACTGATAAAAATTTTCTATACAAATCTCAGCACGTAATGGAAGAGGTTTTAATCAGTGCTGTCAAGTATTATTTTACAAAACAGTAAGAAAGTGATAATCTTAAATGATTAATCATCAAAACTGAAGAAAACATTTAAAAATAAATAACGAAGTACTTATTATAGTATTCTTTACTTAACTTATTCAATTAAAGATACTATTCAATCCTTTATTTTACCACCATTGATCAGTTTATCCCTACAGTCTGTTATTTAAAAGATAATCCGTTTAGTGAGAAAAAGAATCAGTATTTATTAAAGATCACCAAAAATTGTTAGAAATAAATTAAGTTGAGTGTTTTAAGATGCCCTAATTGTGAATTGTCTATAAATAAACAGAAAATAAATTAATTAATTGGATCTAAGATATCGACATTAGGTGTAGTATGCTGGATATCACTATTAGCAATCATATATTCAGACACAGATATGTAGAGTCCGACCAGGAGACCGATTCCACTAGCAGCATAAACATTTCTTTGTAGAATAATACATGTAGCAACACAAAGTCCAAAATACGTTGCATATCGAGCCATATTTTCATGTCGCTTACGACCAAGAATATCTGGATCTGTATGAAGAAAGATTTCGTTTTGTCTAGTCTAGTTCAGTTCTCAATCTAATCATTATCAACTATTTTTTACAACTCGTCTTTCTTACTTATACAAATATTGTCTTTTTTCTCATAGCCGTCAGCACATTTGATACACATATCTGGACCATCTCCATTGCACCTATTACAAGCTCGATCACAACCTAACAATAAAAATTAATATAAAATAGTATTTAACTAATGAAATGTAAATAATACATTGATAAATACTCACTCAAACAAGAATAATTTCCGTCTTTATTAATACAAAATTGATTGCCAGGACAATACTTTTCGCTCTCTAAACATTCATTTATATCCACGCACCCTTTATCTTCCGTTTCTTTCCAACCCTTTCTACATCCTCCTTCACAGTTGGCAGCTCCTGCTCCTTTACATTCTTTGGCACAAGCTTCATGACAACTGGAGCACAGTAATTTATTTTCATCCCTATAAGATTCATAGTGGCCTACAGCACATTCTGAACATTGATCTCCAGCGTATCCTTTATCACATGAGCATTGACCATTTCCTTTTCTAGTTCCGGATCCTTTACATCTGCCATTATTATTACAAACTTTATCTGGATAGCCAGTACACTTAGTACATTCAGGACCAAAATGATCTTTAGGGCAACATCTTTTGGAGTGTTTTATACAAATATACACATAAATATCAGGGTAAGAATCCTGATGATTAAACCACCATTCTTCAATCGCACTTTCTAATTCTTCGGCTAGCTCATGACATTGAGCTTCACCTTTTAAAACTCCTTTGCATAAACCTTCTTGAATTTCTGTAAGTCTAACTTCGCTTCTAGCATAAGATTTAAGATTATCTTCCTCCCAAGCAGTATCTCCTCCTTCAAATTTGCCTCGTTTAGTTTTATCAAAACCCTGTAATAATCAATATTTTATTTAAAAAGAAAAGCAAAGTATGAATCATATAGATACTCAATAAACAATGTAATTACCTTCTTAAAGCTTTCGATAAGTACTTTACAAGCAGCACATGGTGGAAGTTTCTCAGTCTTAAGTTTTTCATCAACAGGTGATGGAGGGCTCAACGAGGCTTTGGCATAATTAATTGAGCAAATTACTGTCAATAATACAGAATAAACAATTACGTATTCAATGAATTTTTGCATATTAATCACACTAGTTTGTTTACAATCAATTTTGTAGGTGTAGAGGCACTATTTAAGGTTAGATGTGTAACTCGTGTGATATGGAGTGATTGTTAATGATAAATAATCAAATTTTTATTGACGATATTCAAGATTCTTGATAAATTCTCCAGCAAAAAACTCTCGTTTTATTTCATTCTATGAGAAAGAACCAAACTCTTGCAGATGTGACAGCAACAAACACCACCTGATAAAAATTTTACTCCAATGAGATTAGGGCATATGTCAGCTAATAACCAATCAATTTCTACCGCGTATTATTTTAAGAATTTGTGTCTAGCAATGATTTTTGTAACAACATGTAAATTAAAATTACCTCAGTGAATAATTTTGTCTCAATTTTTAGTTTTATCACAATTTTTAATTCTAAATCTTTGTATTTGAGGTACTTTCTTGTTAAGAGGTACCTACATATGTAAATTTTATTCTAATGTAACAATTCGTTTATGTGTACATCAGAATACTGGAGGTTTTGTATAGTAATTCAAATGTTTATTTAATTATTAAAGTAATGCATGACTAAATAAATTAAATAAACAATAAAAACAAGCATTTTTGGGAACCACCCAATAATATCATTAGTCGATAAATCGATCTTAGACAAGTTGGTACCATTTTGTAAGTAGATGGAGTTAGTAGAGTATTCTATAATGGCGAAGATCATGTTCGAGAATAACCTAACCTGTGGACTGCTGTTAACGCAATTTCGAGTGACGTGTCTTCGGTTAACAATTTATTGCTTCTAATAAACACAGTTTTATGATGTATATGATTGTTTAAAAGTATTAAATATCAATTGTAATCAGTCAACACGAAGAAAATGTTAACAAATTTCGAAACAAAGTCAGCTCGAGTCAAAGGGCTTTCATTTCATCCCAAACGTCCGTGGATCTTAGCAAGGTATTTACTGTCTAATCTATCATAAATTTTTAATTAAATAATTATTAGATTATTATGTATATGGGATTATTAAATATTTACTTATTTCGGCATTTTCAAATTTGAGTATTTAGAATTAGATTGTAACAAACATAATTTGCGAATGATTATTACTTCTTTTTAAATGTTTTTCTGCACATATTAAATTTATCTTCTCTGTTATTTTTGGGTAATTTTATAAAACATGCCTTTTAAATAGCCATACTATAATTTTCATTGTTACTCGAAATGTAATAATCATTGCAATCAATATTAGAGTTTGTTGTTGTTCAGACATTTGTCGTAGTAACAATCCAATCATTGATAAATAATTCAATTTCTATTAGAGCAGATTGAAACTAATGATATTGATTATTTAAAATTTTCAAGTTTACACAATGGATTTATTCAATTATGGGATTATCGAATGTGTACCCTTTTGGATAAATTCGACGAACATGATGGTCCAGTCCGGGGAATCTGCTTCCACAATCAACAGCCTCTTTTTGTTTCCGGAGGAGATGATTACAAAATTAAAGTATGGAATTACAAACAAAGGAGGTGTATATTCACCTTATTGGGTCATTTAGATTACATTAGAACAACAGTATTTCACCATGAGTATCCTTGGATTTTGAGTGCCTCAGATGATCAAACTATTAGGATTTGGAACTGGCAGAGTCGAGCTTGTATCTGCGTTTTAACTGGCCATAATCACTATGTCATGTGTGCACAATTCCATCCTTCTGAAGATATGATTTTGTCAGCATCTTTGGATCAAACTGTGCGAGTTTGGGATATTTCTGGATTGAGAAAGAAAAATGTAGCTCCAGGTCCAGGTGGTCTTGAAGAGCATTTAAAAAATCCTGGAACGACAGATTTATTTGGGCAAGCTGATGCTGTTGTCAAACATGTACTTGAAGGGCATGATCGTGGAGTAAACTGGGCATCTTTTCATCCAAGTTTACCCTTGATAGTTTCAGGTGCTGATGATCGTCAAATAAAAATGTGGAGAATGAATGATATGAAAGCCTGGGAAGTGGATACATGTAGAGGTCATTACAATAATGTCTCTTGTGTCTATTTCATCCACGACAAGATTTAATCTTATCTAATTCTGAGGATAAAAGTATTAGAGTTTGGGACATGGCTAAAAGAGGATGTCTTCAAACATTCCGAAGAGAACATGAAAGATTTTGGGTTCTTGCAGCTCATCCAACATTGAATTTATTTGCTGCTGGGCATGATGGAGGAATGATAATATTTAAATTAGAACGAGAACGACCAGCTTTTGCTGTTCATGGTAATTTACTTTATTATGTGAAGGATAGATTTTTACGAAAGTTGGATTTCACTACGTCAAAAGATGTTTCGGTAATGCAACTTAGAGGGGGAGGAAAAATTCCTGCTTACAGTATGTCATATAATCAAGCAGAGAATGCAGTTCTCATTTGTATGAGAGTTCCATCTAATATTGAAAACAGTACCTATGATTTGTACATGATTCCAAAGGATGGTGATTCAAATACAACACCAGAAACTAAAAGAGCTTCTGGTGTTACGGCTATTTGGGTAGCAAGAAATCGATTTGCTGTTTTGGATCGAGGATATTCAGTGAGTAATAGTCATTATTACTAAATTTTTAAATATGTTTAACATGACAATAATATTTACTTTTATTTTTTAGCTGGTTATCAAAAATTTGAAGAACGAAGTAACGAAAAAAGTCCAAATTCCAAATTGTGATGAAATTTTTTATGCAGGAACGGGAATGCTTCTCCTTAGAGACTCAGATCAAGTAATTCTTTTTGATGTTCAACAGAAACGTCAGTTAGCAGAAGTTAAAATTTCAAAATGCCGTTATGTTGTGTGGTCCAATGATATGTCCCATGTAGCATTATTATCAAAGCATACCGTCAACATTTGTAATCGAAAACTTGAATCTCTTTGTTCAATTTCTGAAAATACTCGAGTGAAATCTGGAGCATGGGACGATTCTGGAGTATTTATTTATACTACAAGTAATCATATCAAGTATGCCATTAACACAGGAGATCATGGAATTATTCGGACTCTTGATCTACCTATTTACGTGACGAGAGTTAAAGGAAATCAAGTTTATTGTCTGGATCGTGAATGCCGACCAAGAATTTTACGGATCGATCCAACAGAATATAAATTTAAACTTGCTTTAATTAACAGAAAATATGAAGAAGTTCTTCACATGGTTGTGAATGCTAATTTAGTTGGTCAATCCATTATTGCTTATCTTCAACAGAAAGGATATCCAGAAGTTGCATTACACTTCGTTAAAGACGAAGAAACTAGATTTAACTTAGCTCTAGAGTGTGGCAATATTGAAGTAGCTTTAGAGGCTGCAAGAATATTAGATAAAAAAACTTGTTGGGAAAGATTGGCTCACGCAGCTTTGTTGCAGGGAAATCACCAAGTGGTAGAAATGTGCTATCAGCGCACAAAAAATTTCGAAAAACTTGCATTCCTGTATTTAATTACAGGAAATTTAGATAAATTAAAAAAAATGACTAAAATAGCAGAAATAAGAAAAGATGTTTCTGGTCAATATCAAGGAAGCCTTCTTCTTGGCGATATTTATGAACGCGCCAAAATTTTAAAAGAAGCTGGACAAACTTCTTTGGCTGCGGTTACAAAGAAAATTCACGGAATTGCAACCGAAGATGATGAAGAACAAGCCAATTCAGTTGAAGAAGAACTAAAAGATTTACAGCGTGATGCAGTCTATTTTAGACCACCGGTACCTGTACAAAAAATTGAAAATAATTGGCCTTTATTAACGGTATCTAAAGGATTTTTTGAAGGAGTTATGAACTCTAGAAGGCACAACCAAGTCACGGCGGCTTTAACTGCAGTCCAATCTGAAGATGAAACTGGAGCTGATGGTTGGGCTACTGATGACGTGCTTGGAATAGATGACGAAGAAGGTGTGGAAGGTGGAGAAGGTTTTGCAGATGCAGAAGACAGTGGTGCTGGATGGGATGTTGAAGACGTCGATCTTCCTCCAGAGTTAGATACACCAGGTTCGGGTGCTAAAGAGGGCTATTTTGTCGCTCCAACTAAAGGGCTATCAGTAACCCATTATTGGATCAACAATTCTCAGCTTCCGGCAGATCATATTGTAGCTGGATCGTTTGATACTGCATTTAGACTTTTACATGATCAAGTTGGAGTAACCAAGTTTGATGCTTATGAAACGCATTTTCTCAATATTTTTGCTAGATCTAGGACCAGTTTTGCATGCCTTCCAAGCATTCCTTCTCTTTATGCTTATCCACAACGGAATTGGAAAACTGCAACACTTAAAACTGGTCTTCCTGCTGTTGGATTACATTTAACGGAACTTGTGCAACGATTACAAGTGTGCTATCAACTGACAACAGGCGGAAAGTTTATGGAGGCAATAGAAAAACTTCAAGCAATTTTATTAAGTGTTCCTCTACTAATTGTAGATACGCGACAGGATATAGCAGGCGCTCAACAATTGATTCAGATTTGTCGAGAGTATATTTTGGGCTTGAAAATGGAGACAGAAAGAAAAAATGCACCTAAAAGTACTTTAGAAGAACAAAAGAGAGTTTGTGAAATGGCAGCATACTTTACTCATTGTAATCTCCAACCTGTCCATCAAATTTTAACTCTAAGGACAGCTGTCAATTTATTTTTCAAACTTAAAAATTATAAAACAACAGCATCTTTTGCAAGAAGATTATTAGAGTTAGGACCAAAACCCGAAGTTGCTCAACAAGTCAGAAAGATTCTTCAGGTTAGTAATTGATGATTTTTGGAAATAATAGAGATTTATTGAAAAAGTTTTCAACAGGTGTTTTTTAACAATTATTTAATATATTGAAAAATGATTAATTTTTGTATTTTTTCTTTGTTAAGGCATGTGACAAGAATGCAGTCGATGAACATGAAATGAAGTACGATCAGTATAATCCCTTCTCTTTGTGTGCTGCAACTTACACTCCAATTTACAAAGGGAAGCCAGAAGTCAAGTGTCCTCTATGCGGAGCAAGTTATCATCCACAGTTTAAGGATTTGTTATGTAAAGTTTGCGAAGTTTCCCAAATTGGGAAAGAGTGTACTGGTTTAAAAATTAGCGCGAAAGCGTAAAAAAAACAGACAAAGACTGGTAAAATTTTTAATTAATTAGAAATATTCAACTCTACATTTTGTCCTACATGTGCTAGAAAAGGTCAATGACCTCAGATAATTTTTTCTATGGCTTAATCTTAATCATAACAATAGTAATAAAGTATTCATCTATTACAACTGATAATTTTCTATTTTTTAAATTATTTATATTAAGGTGAAGAAAATATCTTAATGTTGATTATATATTTATTAAGAAAAAAAATCAATTATATTACAATGAAAAATGTACAATAAAAAAAAGTGTTGGAAATAATCGAGACGTGATTTTAATAATTTCATAAATATAAAAATATTTAAAAAGAAGCCACGTATAGCTACGACTAATGGTGTCAATACAACGAAATACCCCAGAAAATAAACAGAAGGTGAGGTTAGATTTTTATGCTTGGTAGCATTGTATGTTATTACCGCTGCAACTTTCGTGTGCAATGGCGAATGTGTATTGTGGAGGCCGCTTGTGCGTGCCGTCAAACTGGTAATTGTATGATAATTTTAGTGACGATTAAATGTTTTGAAGTGTAATTCATTTAAGTCGAGCGATTATTAATCATCTTCTATCTTTCAATAATTAATTAATAAATAATTAGGTAATTGTAAAATATCATAACAGTGCGCGCGCGAAAATTCGGCGACGTGTGTGTATTTGTTTAATACAGTAAAATTTTCATTCCCCAGATACTTTTTCAACACATAACTGACAATAAAGTTTACAATGTTGTAAATACCAATTAAAATTATAGGTCAAATAAAAAATTATTTCGAAAATTGTTTGAACGAAAATCTTAACCTTAAAAGATGGTTTTGATAATTCATAAAAAATGTACTTAGGTTATTACAAAGTGTTTTTCGCAGCAAATTGTGAATAGACAAGGCTGAAGGATAGAAATAGAGATAGGCATAGAACGAGAAGGAACATGAAAGCAGTGCCGTAAACATCACGGGCTTAATTGTACTAAATGGATAATAGAAAGAGACTGTAATATATTTATGTGAGTGTAAATGCGATAGCAAGAAAGACCAACGTTTGTAGATAAAGGTTTACATTACACCCGCGTAGCGGAAAGCCGGAGAAAGATAGACGGACAGAAGAGGGCCCCCGCGAGGGTTGCGTTCACGGAAAACCCGCGCGCGGATTTCCACGCTCTGAAAAATATTGATAGAGAGGAAAATAAAATTGTTTAGTCAAAGAATAAGAAGTTTCTGTCAGTATTTGATACTTAAAACGTCGCAAACTTATCGGCAAGGTCCTGAAAAGGTTAAAAACTCGAAAAGTAACCACCCTAAAACGCCGGGAAGGTTAGTTAGAAATACTGAAGAACAGTGGACTCTAGATGGTGTATTCGAAGTGAAAAAAGTGACAATTTCATAGTGTTTCGTGTGTGGCGAGACTTTGGAAACACTAAAGAAGTGAAGCAGTTGGAATCTTAGAATAGGATTGAAAAAAAAAATAAATTATCGGAGATTTTGAGATAAATATATATTTTTTTTTAATAAATTAATTAAAACATAAATCTATCGCGGGACCCCCCTGCTCGTAGGGTAATACGGTGTTATGAAAAAATGATGTGATCGACGGTCATCATGGCGGCACCCATGTTAAAGTGGAAACGAATCACAAATCCAAGCGGACCTCAACCAAGACCCCGTCATGGACATCGGGCTGTTGCCATTAAAGACCTTATGGTCGTCTTTGGAGGTGGCAATGAGGGGATCGTGGATGAGCTTCACGTTTACAATACAGGTAATTTTATTTTTCATCGTTTGGACGGCACTACAACCCTTGTTGCGTCCTATCAACCGACCCGTGCGCGCCGTTCAGTTCCCGCGATTCAATATGGCGGCACGCGTTGACATGACGGTCACCGGCCGGACTTATGATAGAAAATAAATCCTACAACCTATTATGATCAAAGAATATACTAAAAATTCATTTTGAATGATATTTATTTTGGTGGAATTTTTTTTTGTGCTATTTACAAGCTAAAAACCTTCAAATCATCAATAAAATAATCAAGAGTGTGACATTTTTCCAATGTATACGCGCGGGAGCAGCCATTGCTGATCTGTTCTCCCACCAACCGGCATTTCCCATCATTCCACGTTCACATTTATTCTTCCCTCTTTCGTTTCATCACCTCCTGCCGTGAATTCTCCTTCGCGACCACAAACACCGCTGTTTTAGGTTGATGCACCCGCATGCGCGTCGTGCACGCGCGCTTTTTGATTATAGGCTAATTTAATTGATAATGATGGTCTTTATTTTTTAGCCACAAATCAATGGTTTGTCCCATCGACCAAAGGAGACATCCCTCCAGGATGTGCTGCTTATGGATTCGTTGTGGATGGAACGAGAATCTTAGTGTTTGGTGGTATGGTAGAATATGGAAAATATTCAAATGAACTCTATGAACTTCAAGCAAGTCGTTGGGAATGGAAAAGATTAAAACCTAAACCACCCAAAGATAGCCCACCTCCTTGTCCAAGACTTGGACATAGTTTTACTTTGATAGGAAATAAAGTCTTCCTCTTTGGAGGTCTAGCAAATGATAGTGACGATCCAAAAAATAATATTCCTAGGTATTTAAATGACCTTTATACCTTGGAGCTTCTTCCTAACGGCCAATGTGCTTGGGAAATTCCCGAAACTCATGGTCCAGCCCCTCCACCACGAGAATCACATACAGGAGTGGCTTATACTGATCGTACAACCGGAAAATCCTGCCTTGTTATCTATGGAGGAATGAGTGGATGCCGTTTAGGTGATTTATGGTTTCTGGATGTTGATTCCATGACCTGGAACAAACCAATCGTTCACGGACCAACACCTCTTCCTCGATCATTACATACTGCTACTCTTATCGGTCACCGGATGTATGTATTCGGTGGTTGGGTGCCTCTAGTTGTTGATGACATCAAAGTCGCTACTCATGAAAAAGAATGGAAGTGCACGAGTACTTTAGCATGTTTAAATTTAGGTTTGTTAATGTGTTTTAATTTATTTTTATAAATTATTCATTAATTGTATATTAATGGTATAAAATAATTTTTAGAAACATTGACTTGGGAACAATTAACTGTAGACTCTTTGGAAGAAAATGTCCCTCGAGCTCGTGCTGGTCACTGTGCAGTCGGGATTCATAGTAGACTTTATGTCTGGTCTGGGAGAGACGGTTATCGTAAAGCATGGAACAATCAGGTTAGAGTCGCTTTTTATAAACTAACATTGTAGTTAACATATATTGTCACTTCCTGTTTAACTTGTTTGTTGATTATTACTTTTAAGGTATGCTGCAAAGACTTGTGGTATCTTGAAGTCAGTAAACCTCCAGCACCACCCAGAGTCCAATTGGTTCGAGCTTCAACGAATTCTCTTGAACTTAGTTGGACTCCAACGCCGTCCGCTCAATACTACATTTTGCAAATACAAAAATATGATATGCCACCTTCAACTGGACCATTCCCAGCTGCTACACCTGCTTCGACAACACCTGTAGTTCCTCCAGTAACAACTCCAGCTATTACACCAGCTCCAACAGCTGAAAAAATTCCAGTAACAACTACACCTATTCAAGCTTCTACCCCGGTTCCAACAACACCAACTTTACCACTTCCAACACCTACACAACCGGTAACTACTGTAATCACTCCAGTTGCAGCCTCTGCAACTCCAGTACGAGCTGCTATTGCTCAAAGTCCAGTGAGAGTTCAAACTCCAGTTCAGAGTCCAACAGTTAGACCATTAACAAATCCAGTGGCTAAACCAACAGCTCCACTAACTCCTCGAGTTGCTGCTGGCAATGTAATAAGAATTCGATCACCTATCGTTACTCCAGTTTCATCAGTTGCTTCAGAACAGGCTCCTACTACTCCGGTAGCTACTACAGCTGGTCAATCTCCAACAGCGATGTCTGGAATAGCTGCTTTAGCAGCAGCTGCTGCAGCGACTCCTAAAATTAGTATGAATAATGTCCCAAGTAACGTGGTATCACAAACTTCAACTAACACCGTCCGGATAAAAACCGCTCAACCTGGACAACAGATTAGATTTGCGGCCCCGGGAGCTACAGTGTTACGAGCAGCCTCTCCTCAACAAAGTAAACAAATTATTCTTCAAAAACCTGGTCAAAATATATCAGGACAACCTCAGATCGTTCATTTACTTAAAACTGGTCAAGGTATGGTAGCCAGTGTACCAAAAGTAAGTTTAATTCCAGGAAAAACCGTACAAACTGCCGGAGGCAAACCTTTAAATCAAGGACCAACAATTTTGCGACTTGTGGGTCCTAATAGCGTTGGTGGGTCTAAAATTTTAACAACTGTGAAAACTTCTAATCTTGTTGCAATGAGCAAAGGTCAAGGTATTGCTGGCAAACAGACGATAATGATTACTAAGCCAGGTGGAAATGGAGGATTAGTGGGTAGAACTAATCAGATCATTGTAGTTACTACAGGGTCTGGATTAAGGGCTGTTCAAGCTGTTACAACATCTCAAGCAGGTCAAGGAGGGACAATAACTACTCCAGTTAATGTATTACCTTTGTCAGCAGCAAATCACGTGACAAATCAACAAGGGGTTAAAATGATTGTGGTTTCATCAGCCGCTATGGGTGGTGGAACGGGAGGAAAGCCCATCACAATAACAGTTCCTGGTCACGGAGGAGTTCCAAAAACTGTTACAATTGCTACGAAAGGTAGTCAGCAAACAATTTTTAATCCTTCAAAAACTCAAATTATGACTGTTCCTGGAATTCAGAAAGCTACTGATGTAACTGGAAAACCTGTTACTCTTCAAATGTCTGGTGGTCTTGGTGCTAAAACTGTAACTCTAGTGCCTACCAGTAGTTCCATCGTCACTACCTCTGTATCTGGGGATTCAATAGACACAAGTAAAATGCTATTCGTTCCTCAAAAACAGCCCTCAGCTACACTGGCATCGACATCGGATGGGCCTGCGACAACAGATGCAGCCTTAGCAGCTTTAGCTGCTGAAGCTGGACTTATTGATCCAGTTCAAGAATCTTCTGGACTTAATTTTATGGTGACTGATGATACTGGTGATGAAAAAGCAGAAGACAGTTGTAACGGAAATGAAGCAACTACTACAGCTGCATTGGTGTCTCAATTAAGTGCTGGTGAACCTATGCAAGTTGATGGAGATGGAAATTTTGTTATACCACAAGTTGATGGACCTGTAGATATATTATCTTCTGATGATGAAGGAGAAGATCCAAAAGTTGAAGAAGAATCAACTATGCAGCAATCAACTGCATCACCAGATCCGCCACAGCAAGACAACCAAGAACTAGAGCAAGATGTCAATCCATCAATTACTGAAGATGCTCCTCAGATAGAGGAATCTACAGAGAAAGAAGATAGAAATCAAGAAAATGTTGAAAAAATTACGGAAGAAAGTGAAGATATAGCAGAAGGAGAAGGAAATAGTGAAGTTCCGATGGAAGCAAGTGAACCAGATTTACCATCAGAAAGTGACATGCAGATTGTTAGTAATGCTCCATCAGAGTGCTCATTAAAATCAGAATTATCTGAACTCCAACCAACTGAATCGATCGATAATAAAACAGAAAGTGATAATTTAGAAGATAAATTGGAAACAGAATGTGAAGATAAATTAAATGATTCGGAAGTTGTTCAAGAAACTGAAGAAAAAGAATTGAAAAATTCACTAAATGAAACTAGGGAAGAAAAAGATAAAATTGGTGATGACAATGAAGAAGTAGAAAAACTTGAAACACCTCTAACTAGTATTGATAATGACGTAGAAATGAGTAGAGAATCTTCTTTACAAGCAAAAGCTGATCCTGAAAGTGAATCCATGGATGTTGACGTACCAATAAAAATAGAAGCAGCACCATCGCCACCAACACCAGTAAAGCAAACTAAAATTCCAATGGAAACTGAAGAGCCGATTAGTGAAAAAAATCCACCAGCCACTACTGTAGCTAACGGTCGAGTTACAGCTGAACCTGACACTGACTCGTTGCAGAAATCAAATGCAATAATAAAGCCTGAAGTCAAAGAAGAGCCGAAGAAAGAAATTTCGAAGACAGAAAAGGAAAATGATTGCAGAGAAAATGACGATTCCACTGCATTGACAACATTAGCAACTGCAGCTCTAGGATCTGCAGAACAACCTGTAAAACCAACAGTGAAACCAGAACTTACGGAAGAAGAAAAAAAAGATTTAGATTGGTATGATGTTGGAGTTGTTAAAGGAAACACGTTTACAGTTCAACATTATTATCTACCCGGTGACAGTCCTCTTGACATGTCTTTACCTTTGGCAGATATATTTAAAGGAAGAGCTAAAGTACCTTTAGAGTCTGGTACAGCATATAAATTTCGAGTAGCTGCTGTTAACAGTTGTGGAAGAAGTCCGTGGAGTGAGGTAAATATTCTCAATGATGAAATTACATGATTTAAAATTTTCATCATGTTGAGAGATGTTGGAAAAATATTTTTTATAACTGTTTAGGTGTCTGCATTCAAAACGTGCCTACCAGGATATCCTGGTGCTCCGAGTGCGATAAAAATTTCCAAGTCAGCGGAAGGTGCTCAATTATCTTGGGAGCCACCTCCAAGTAATTTAGGACCTATTTTAGAGTACTCGGTATATCTAGCTGTTAGAAGTGCTAGTGCAGTATCAAATAGTGCTGGAGAAGCAACAACTGTTGCAACGACTTCTACTCAACTGGCATTCATTCGAGTTTATTGTGGACCTAACAACTCATGTTCTGTTCCTAACAGTTCGTTAAGTGCAGCACACATGGATGTAACGACAAAACCAGCTATTATTTTCAGAATAGCAGCGAGAAATGACAAAGGATATGGACCTGCCACTCAAGTGAGGTGGTTGCAGGGTAAATAATAGAAAATCAATTATTTATAATATATGTTAATGAATAAAATAATCTTTTGAAATTTATTTAAAATGTGCGATAAGTAATCATTTAAAAGTTATATGATTATTTAATTATTTTTGCAGATCCAGCCACAGCAGTTAAAAGTAATCCTCAAATAAAACGATCAGTAGGTGATGCACGTTCAGTAGCTAATTCTCCTTTGAAAAAAGTGAAACAAGAAGCTGATAAAGATTACTCGTGAGTTGTTTTTTCATTAATTTTTTCATCAAGTCCTGCTCGACAAACAAATCAACTCCCCCATTATTTTGTTCAATATCGAAATTTCATAACTCAACAGTAATTTTTATTTTCTCGCTGATACGCACGCCTAATAAGTATCACAATTTATAATTTAATAACTACTAATTAATAATTATCATTAATATTATAAAAAGTGAAGTAATTAATATAAACAATCAACAAAACAATGTAATGACTAAACTCTTGAATCGCTCGTAATTTTATTTCCTCTTTAATTAATGCGAACGAACGTTTGAGTGTAAAAATACTATGTAATAAGAGATGAATATGTGATTAGAAAAAAAATTTAATAATAATTCTATTAGAGTCTCTCCGTTTATGGAAAATTTTCTTCCATTTATTTTTTGTATGAGTGTCTTATCCAAAAATTTATTAATAAAATAATTAAAACAATTAAAAATTAAACGAGGTACGCCAAGTGTTCGATTTAAAACGAAATCACATCGGTACAACAGCCTCAATTCCTTCGCTTAATTACAAAAAAAATACTTTAATCGTCATTTATAAATACTTGAAGCCCCTCAGTAATTAATCATTAGATCCATTGAACATAATTTATAAATAATAATAAAAAGGCGTGATAAAACTGCATTTTTAAAATTTCTATTTGTAATTAATTACTTTCTATAAAAAGAAAAGTTTTACAATACATATCGTGATTACCTTGAGCATGAATTAATAAAAATCAAGTTGAATGATTATTAAATTAAATAAATTACCAAACAATAATAACTTGATTTTTGATGCTATAATCATCGATATTATATCTATAACAAGTGGTAGTAATATGACCAATAATAAAAGTAAACAAATAATAGGGGGAATATTGGATATTTTTGTATGAGTAATGGGATTATTTCCAACTACAAAAAGAAAATAATCAATTTCTCTTCTTATTTTTATTTCAAATATTTGTAAAATTCTTTCACTCTCTGGAATTGAGTCAAATAAGAAATTAGAACGATCATGGAAACAGATTTTATAATTTCGAATATTTAAGAAAATTTTTGTAGTGTTCAAGGCCACTGACATCGAATTAATTTTATTTATTTAATAATTATTTAATTAGTTAATTTAATAAATAATCATTTAATTAATAAAGTTAATGAGGCCGCATTACGAAGATGATTTTGAGCTGTCGCGGTTAATTTATTACTAATATTTTCAGTGAATCATAGAAACCAGAAGTAACGGGGGTTGATAAATGAAATAGAAAAAATATAATGATGAAAAGAAAATAATAACAATTAATGATTAATGATAAATACATTTATAAAAAAAAAGGATAAATGAAAACGTACTGTGGCGTTATTTTTGTACCGATTCCATACAACATTCTTCAATCCTAATCCATCGAACTTCACGCCAAGACATGGTAATAATAATTGATGAAGAAATAAAATGATCCTCACATAAATAATTTCATAGTTTTTAGAATATTAATTAATGAATAAAATGAAAAACACAAATGTTTATTACATAGTGTATGAATTTCTTCGACTTAAATTATAAAAATTTATTCGACAAAAATTTAAGTCAATGAATGAAAATATATGTATAAGAATAATTAATATTATTGCTATTATTATTAATAATATTATGATTATGATTATAAATATTATTTTAGGTGATTTTGAAATGAATGTAAAGTAAATGTATAATTTCACAAATCACCGAATGTCTAAATTTTAATTTTCACAAATAAATTTAATTATTTACGTTATAATTAATAATAAGTCAAAGACTTTTTTAAATTTTAGTTATGACAGTCGTGATTAGTCTCTGTTTACTTTAACTTAAGCGAGTAGGAATGCAAGTAAAGTAGCAGCAAAGATTTATGGAAGATTCAAATTTGAATAAATAACTCGAATTATAATGATTGAAATTAATTGATTGTAGAAAAATTCTTTATACTAATTTAATCTTTCTTTCAGCATCTAAAATTCTAATTATTTTTATTTTTTATGTGAAGTTAGCCATTCATTATGCACAAAAACATGTAATGATATTTGTTATTTTACTTATGTTATGTTTAGTCTTGCACTAACATCACATTTTTAATCAGCTCAATAATAACTTAAATCAAGCGATAGTAACTGGCTCATTTGTTGTTAGGACTAAAAAATATTAAAAATCAATTTTAAAAATTAAATGAAGTGTTTTCGGTAATGATGGCCTTAAAGCTACGCATCAGGATAACTTCGCAAGAAATCAAAGTGCCTAGGATGATTAAGAAATATTTTTTTTTTGAAAGTTTATGATGTTTTTTAAATGTTTTATTCGACAGTAAGAAGTTAGAATTCTTACTTTATTACAATAAAGAAATTTTTGTATTTTTTTATTAATCCGACAAGTGAAAAATTACTGGAGAAAGAAAAAAATTCGCCTTTTATTTAATAATTTTAAAATAAAAATCATAGAAACAAAGAAAACGATAAAAAGAGATCTTTTTGTAATTTCGATTTGGGTGTTTATTATTATAAATGAGAAGAAATATTAAGGTCCGAATTTAATAATGATCATGATTGAGAAATATTTAAAGTGAATGCAATGCGCCTAACGTCTCAATCAGGCACAGTTATATTATTCCTTAGTGTTAATTTTTAAGAAAAATATTCACAACAACAAAATGTGTCCATGCATGCGATTATGAAAAAATTTAGGAATAATAATTGAAAAAAATTTTCTAGATCTTTTTTGAAAATTATATTTTAAAATTTTTTATTTTATAACAACGCAACGAATATCCTATTTTACTATATTTTTTTTTACGGTAAATTATCATACGTTAACGTGAAGTAAAAAATTGATTTTAAATATATAAAACAACATGCATAATGATGACCACAAGATTGAAATTTTTTCTAGTCTTATTGGGAAATTTTTAATCAAAAAATGAGTCGAAGACTTGAAATTTATTAACAGTAAGTCTAGGAAAAATTTGATGCTCTTGGTAAACAAAAAAACACAGAAACAGTCTTAGATCTTCAATAATCACTTTTTATTGTATAAAACGAAGTTTTTTAGTGATTCTTCATGCGTAACAATGGCAGACTGACTTGCTAAGTACTGGGTACTGTACATAGAAAAAAAATTTAAACAAATGGAAAGAATGATGAAACACTCAAATGATCATAAGATAGATTATTTTTTAAAAATCTATCAAATTTTTCTGTAAAAAAAATCCAAAAAAGATAATGTAGGCGGAAATATAATGATACAATAAACAGTAGACTTATGAGTGAAAGCATAATAAAGATATAAGAAAAATAATGATAATAAACGTATAAATAGATGAATATCTTCATCCTTTATAAGAATCTAATGATAGACATGCAGATTGTATATCTAAAAGTATTTAAATAATTACCAACTAACCCATCGATTGAAGGTTAATAAAAATGATGATAAAAATATTAATTATTAAGATTTATAACAAAAGATAAAATGCATGGGTGTAATATGAAAAAAATTGAAAAGATGAAAAGTAATCAAGTAAATAAATAATAATTAGTTAATGAATGAATAGAATGAATGAAAAAGAAATGATAGTAATTTTTTTAGATGAATATTGAATTTATGATATATTTTATTTTTGTTTATAAGCACACATGTTTATTATTAGTAATATTATTAATAATAATATTAAATAGAATCTACCGAAATGAGAGAATAATTTTTTTCAAGAAGTCGAATAATTTTTTCCTCTACAATGTAACTAAATAGTTGAGAATTTTATTTTTTTTATTATTTAATTCAATTTACTAACTTGTCAATTGTTCAACAAAACTAATATAACATAGAAAAATATTCATCATCTTATTTTATTAGTTTCTAAGAGATGAACCACAATAATTTATAAATTATAAGTTGACAGATACCATAAGATGTTTGAAAGAATAACTATTCATTAAATGCATAGAAAGAGATGCAATATAAATAATGAAAAAGATGAATATAAAAGGTAAAAAAGAGAATTGAAACAATGATAAAGTATAAATTTAATAACAAAATAATGTGTTGACATAAAAGTGTTTCCTCTCGTTTAAGTTACAGTGTGATTACTATACTTTTCACTCTATTCACAAACAAACTATTAATTCTCTTCAATGGTACAGTGTTAAGTATATATATATTATATAATAAAGATAAAAAAATACATGTCAAATTTTTTATGTACATTTAACGACCGAGTATTCCTTAATCCATTTTTACGTTCAAATTGTTTTTTTTTATCTTTATCATTTCCAATGTTATTAGGTATTTTAAAAATGTAATGGCTTAACGAAACCATTAAAGGTTCACATATCATTTCTGACTACTTCAACTGTATATGGTTGAACCTTCCTATGCTATTTTAGGATGTTCATCGTTATGGATAACACAAGTTGACGATTTACGTGATACGATTGCAATCGTTGACTTCTCCAGTCCACTACCCATTGCCTATTCCTTTTTTATTTCTTCTATACTTTGCCAACCACTCGTTATAAATTCTGTTTGAGTGCTGAGTTTGCACACTAAAAAAGGATCTTTTAGACTTTTGGCATTTTTAACTTGTATGCTTCTTGATCTATATTTTGCCATTTGAAGCTAATATGACAGTGGATTCAGTATGATTCGGATTTTATGATCTGAGGCTGAAACAGGAACTCTACGATGCCTAAGATAAAAGAAGAATATAATGATTGGTAAATATACATAATGAGTTTTCAATAAATTGATAAAAAATATAAATGTGTATGTTTATTTTTAGACATTAGATACAATCGTGGAACCCTACGAAGTAATTCTATCTCTGAGCTGATTGATTGACTAGAATGACAGAACAATTTGCATTGATAATGAAGTGCCGACAACATTCGTATGATCACTCTAAAGATTTTCACCCTTACTGACAGTGATTTAAATCGGTTAACTTCATTCATCATGTCTGGCGTTACTACTAGCACAGTGTTGAGTTTTATTTTCTCACTACAATAAAATTCATTGAACAAGCCAATTTTTTTCCAATATTGATGAGAATAGAACCGAGAATGATTCCGATTTATTATAAATTATTTTTATAATTATTATTTATCAGTTAATTTGAGACTGGTATACTCTAAAATTTTAAATAGTATTAAAGACAAAAATTGACAAATTTTTATTCTGTTCCATTTGCTATATTTGCATGAAAAAAAAGGTTAAAGAGAAGAAGATAAGCGTGAGATTGAAGATTTTAGGCTTGAGGGCGAGAGTGAAAGAGAAAAAGAGGATGCCTAGACGTGACTATAGTAGTAAGGAGGGGATAAAGACGCGAATCGCCCCTTCTACGCATCGCGCAGAGCGTTTATGACATCAGTCGATCGCTGGCTTTGGTTGCGAAGCGCAAGCTCGAGCTTTTTCCCCTTCGAACACTCGCCCTGTTGTCCTTTTGAGACAGTATAAGTGTCTAGTGGGAAATTTAGTGAAAGATCTTTAATTTCTGATTCTTTACGTTGTACTGAAATCAAACATTTAAGACAAAAACCCGATAAAAGTGCAAATAACATATTTCCGAATTGTGTAAGTGAACTGTGATTGGAAAGAAAATTAATTTAAACCAAAAAAAACCAAAGTGAATTTAAAATGAGTACTCCGGTCAAGAAGGTGCCAATTCATCTCCAGGTGAGTTTAATCTTGCATAGATTCTAATTATATGTGTGTAAAAAAAAACAAATTAAAAATCCCTTATTATTTTTTAAAGAATAGAATGAGATGATTTAATTAATATAACTAGCTTAATACATGAGGATAAACAATGAGCTGATTGTATAGCTCTCGTTTCACCTGCTGAAAATACAGTTGATTTATTTCTGTTACCTGCCTCCTCTCAAAGCCGGTAGCCATGTAATAGCATTATGTTTTCGACTTTTATCTCTTTCAAAGTATCTGTTTTTTATCGATTACAGAAGAAAATTCCAATTATAAAATAAAAATTAGATTTTATTGTAAAAAATAAATAGACTTTGGTTCTTCTTTGTTACATTTGAAATAAAATTGACATCAGCATCATAGCTAGCCATACATTTTGATTCACAATAGATCAATAAATCTTGAGTGACAATTGAAGAGCAATGATATCAAAATGAAATTACTTGATTGGAAGTAGAACTGTAGTGAGTCGTAATTATGATCGTAAATTAATTATCATGATCAAAGAATCCTTTGAGAAGATGATATATAATAAATATTATCATCGAGAGTCCTGTTTAAAAAAGTGAAATAATTGAATCAATAGTAAATATATTGATAAAACAGCCTTAATACTTGATATAATAGCAACTTATGTACAAAATGAACAACTACTATTTTTCTAATGACGTGTAATTGAACATTTACACATACACCAGCTATGATTATTACGTAATTTACTCGTGAATATCCAGAAATAGGCGTTGTAGAACATTGACAGGAATCTATAACTGGGAATCATAAATTATTATTATATGTACATTGTGGATGGTTTATAAAATATCATTCAAATGTGTATGTACATAGTAGTTTTATGAAATAATTAATTCATTCAACATTATATGGGAAAATAATGTGATAAAATTGTTATTTTGATTAAAAAAAAAAAAAACACGAAAGCAATGTACAATATATTATTTACTGTTTATTCATTAATTACAATCGAAAGTTTAATTAATTCTCCAGCTGTTGGTAATTACATTTTTATCGTATAATTAAAGTAGAAAGAATATTAAGAAATAAAAATTCTAATTTATGATAATTTGTTGATTAAAACACTATCATATTTGTTTATGATTTTTTTACTTTATTCACTTAATTTATTTATTTCAAATTATTTGGTTAATTATTTTTTTAATGAACTACCTCAACATGCAAAAGTTATTCAAAAAAAAAAAAAAAGAAATTAGGAAATAACTGAAAGAGCACAATCCTAAGTGATATTAATGAATATAAATGCATAATAAAATGTAAACAGAAGAATTAGTGTAAAGTATGTTTTGAAAAAAAATTAATATACATGATATGGAAATTTAAATGAGGAAAATGAGATTTTCATGGGTTTATACACAATATTTTTTTATTGCAGTACCTTTTATATTATTACGGATGTACGCTTTGGTAAACATCAAACATTTATTTATTCAAAATTGTAAAAGTCATAAGAAAAATACAGATTGTTTTGAATTGGAGGATGAAAAAAAGGTAAATGAACTCAACACGTACCAAGGGACAGTGTCGCTACACAAACAAAAACACCTGTTCAGACCTTCAACCTACACTACTCCAAAGAGTATAAAATGTTGTATATAATCCAATGAAACTTCTTGAACTTAGGCGATTAATTGATAAAGAATATTATACTCAAGTTCTTTAAATTTATTATATCTTCAGCTGTTTATTAGAACTTCTGATAGACTTTGAAACGTCCAAGTGGCTTGTCATTAAAGATCAAAATACTTGAAAATGTATACTGTAAGCACTGATCATTCAACAATAGTAACATGCTTCAAGTCTCATCGACTTTTATTTTATTACCAGGCGGCTTCTTTACGCTCAAGTAACATTAAAAACATCAGGCGATAAATTGTTAATGGCAATACTTTTGTGAAAAATTTCTTCGACTGTTCCGGCTGTTGAGCTCAGTTAGCACGTGGTGTAAATTATTTTCAACTATCACCTTCTTGTCACCACCAATACCTCCATTTTTTCAAACTATTTTATTTAAACAATCCAATATGTTACTGCTTCTTTTTCATTAACTAATTGGAATTTTCGACATAAATAATCCACATACTGAAGGGGAATAATCTGATAGGGGATGTGGGTAGAATGATTGTAGGAAGGGAATTGTTACATCTTGAAATAAATTAAAGCTCTCATAAAAGTGGGCATTTTAAAAATAGCAGAAAATGGAACATTAGATTACTTTTATCCAACTTATTGAAATAATAAGCAATCTGGTGACTTATTGATCTTTTTATCCATCACACATGAGGTAGAGCATATTTAACATACATACTATTATCGCTAAGAAATAATTATCTATTTTAAGAAACAGTCAAAATTGATTAAAAAATTTTAATTCTTTTTTCTAAGAAATTATTTATTTTATTTGATTGATTTCGATTGGATTAGAATAATATATACTATCTTATCAATATACGATTGTAATATTAATATTAAAAGTATCAGTAATATTAAGTTATCAAGATGATTTTGAAAATATTTAATTAGAAACCTAATCAACTGATTATATATTTTGAGATAGTTGTTCTTTTCAAGTACCATTTTATCATCTCATGTTTTTTATCTTTGTTGGTCAAACTTGGCTACTTTTAGGTTTTTGTTTACTGCATTATCTTCAAAAATACGCGTTCAGGAGTATAACTAGAAACAAGACTTGTGACTTAACTGACAACCGGAACAATCGGTTGTCCCGTTAGAGTTTACGGTTGTAGAGTGGCCGAACTAAACGGCGAATTCGTTTCATTTTGATGGAGAAAATAATTTTTCTGTTTTGAATACTATCTCAATGTTGATTCAACACAATTCTATTTATAGATGAGTCTTTGTTGTTGTTGAATTTTGCAAATATACAGCAGATGGGTGGAGTATCTATTTTCTGTGAGTCTATTATCAGTTACATGAACTTTACTATTTCACTGATGTTTTATACAATATATTTGTTCAAGTATTGTACGTTTCTATCCTTCAGTGCTTGGAATAAACTAGTGTTGTAGCTTGTGGCAGACAGAAATCGATAGTTCGTCGACACTGTGTCGCTCGAGGAACATTACAGAAGTACCTATATCGTCGCAAGATCCATATCTAAGCGTAATACACAAAAGTAAAAGTGCTATAATTAAACTCTGAATGAACTTTTATTGATTATCGATTGCAACTTTTACACAGTCTACCTCATTCATCAGTATGACTTTCTTTAAACAATCACTATTATTCTCACAATCAAAATAATATCCAAGTGTACCAAATAACTTTAATGGGAAAATCATGTCACCAAATATCAAATAGAAGATGTCTATCTTTAGTCTGACAATTTATTACAGTGATACATACATGTGTTCTGACTACTTTGCAAATTTCTTTACAGACTTCTAGGAATATTGAACTTGAGCCAGAAGCAAATAGGTCGAGAAGAATATTCTAAGACTGTGAAAACGAGAAAATAAATCTCAAAACTTACCAGAGTAAAAAAATATTATCTTTGAAGACGATTATTTTTAAATGAGTTGAAATTACTAAGCTCTTTGTAGTGGTTTGTAATTAAATCATTTTAACAAAAAATAATTGACAGTGAGTAGATATGTAGTAAAATAATAACTATGATGAATGATTTTTATCTTTATTATTGAAATTAAAATGTTAGGGTTGATTCTCCAGTCTTTGTGAAACATTGCAGGTTGTTGATTGTGTTTATAAATAACTATAGGGAGGAACTGGTTGGCCAGGTGTGACTTTGTACATCTACTATTTCCGGACAGCACGCGCTTTTGCAAATCAACTAGACCATGCACTACAATCTTATGACCTCTTTACATGTTTATTCATTTTTTATCGATTTAATTATCAGTATTTCATAACTAGAATCTTTCTTATTCTATTCAAAAAATAATTAATATTTTATCAGTAATGTGGTTTTTTGTTTTTAACATGTTGACCTTTAGTGAGTGTCCGACGACCCTGACATGAATATTTGATCATGTTAGTGGACGAGACAGTGAAAGTTCGGTCAATGATATAATCTAAATTACTTTGGGAAGTGTTTGGAATTACGATGTCTTCATACATGATTCCTTATTTACTTACTTGGATTACACTTAATAGAATAGAAAAATTTCGTGTTTTTCACTCAAGTAATAATTAAGGTCTAATTTTCCATCAGAAAAAATTTTTTAATTCTTTTAAGTAAAAGTTAATTGCTTAATTACTTCCACTCTGATTTTTTTTTATCAAAACCACTAATTAAATTTAAAACATGGAAAACTATACTTCAATTTAATTATAATTAAATGTCTATAGACATTTTTTTTCATAATTTTTATTTAAAAAAAAAAAAATAATTGTATTTTCTGTTTCATTTAAAATTCAAAAAGACATTATGAGAAAATTGATAAGGTTTACCAAGTGCCCTAAACGACAAATGATTCGTAATGGTTTAAGAGGTCAAGCAGTTTGCAAATGCATGGGCCCCAGTTGGTGTTTACGCACTGGAACCAGTAGGGAGATTAAAATCCGTTGCGCGAGTGAGCACATATACCTCCAGGGGTTTTAAGGGTGCTATCAAACCCTTCAGTAATCAGTCTTAACCAGAGAAAATCTATATCAGCGGTCATAAGCAGTAAATAACAAGGGTGACAGCCCTAATCGAGTTCACGTACAATACAAGGGGTTCACATATATGGTAATAGTTACTGTCGTGCTATGATACCTCTGTGAGTGTAGATATTTTAAATACCATTTTGAGATAAAAGCCTTAGACTTCCTTCAGCCTTTTATTTATATTTTTATCCCCTTTTTCGAGTGGCTGCTGTCGGAAATCTAAGTCTACAAGTTTTATGCAATCCACAGGACGAGTATTCTTCTTTCACATGAAAGAGTAATTATATCGATTAAATTCTCCATCTTTAACGACATATATTGTAAATACGTCTCATAAATTATTTAGAAATATATTTGATCATTTGAGAGATTCTTTTTTCCAAATAGTGAAAAGTTGTTTTTATGCGAGATTAAAATAGAAATTTTTAAATGAATTATTTTAAGAAAAAATGATGAGTACGATGACCGGGAAATAATGCAAACTCAGATATTTCAACAAGAAAAAAAATATGGAAATTTGCCAAACTCGTTTTCATGTTACATTTAACAGTACTGAGATTGATTCTAACAAAATCTATTCATACTGCTAAGACAGCAATACTTGATAGAAATTGAAAGTGGATCATTTAATATGTAGACTTGTGTTGATGATGGCTCGTGCTATGTAATAATATAACACGATCATAGAAAATTACATACAATCATGAGTACACGGTTGGATAGGCATATCGAAGAGAGTAATGATGTTCTGACTTAGATATAAGATAGAAGGTAATATAAAATGATGACGAGCAATTTAAAATCGATAACAATTGACAATAAACAACAACTGTGATCATCAATAATGATTTAAAATAACATCATATATATTTAGGATTTAACGTTACGGATTAATTAACGCTATATCCTTATAACTAATATTTTGTTTCTATTTCAGAGTGCAGCAAACAGATTGCTGATAAAGAATGGAAAAGTTGTGAATGCAGATGGAATTATTGATAGTGATATTTATGTTGAAGATGGAATTATCAAGTAAGTAAATCATATATATCTTTTTTCTTTGATAATTATTAATTAAATTATAGTAAATGAGTAAATTAATTGATAATAGTCAAAAGTCTACATGAGTATATTAAACCAATAAATTTAATATCAAGACTGAAGCCATATAGTTCTGAAGAATTCTTTGTTTGGATTCACAATATTTATTAACTGATCAACACCTTTTACAATACAATTACACTCACTCATGTCGCTCAGTATGATACATTTTATCAATTTAGTCATTTTTCTATGAAAACTTCTTTTTCATCAGTCAATTATTTGCTATAATGGTAAAAATAAAAACAATTACCTATTACTTATCATTGCATTGTTGTCTTAACATTTTTTAAATTCAACAGACAGCTTGGGCGTAACTTAATAATTCCTGGGGGCACTAGAACGTTAGATGCTCGTGGAAAATATGTGATGCCTGGAGGTATTGATCCCCATACTCACTTCGAATTAGAGCTTATGGGTGCCACATCAGTGGATGACTTTTATCAAGGGACTAAAGCTGCAGTAGCTGGTGGTACAACAATGATTATGGATTTTGTTATTCCTCGCAAGGGAGAAAGCATTCTCGAAGCTTATGAGAGGTATCGTGCCACTGCTGATGAGAAAGTCTGTTGCGACTATGCACTTCATGTTGCTATCACTAGTTGGAGCCCAAAGGTAAACATTATCTCAATATATTTTTTGTTTACTATTACATAGTTAAGCTGTATGTGTATATGATAGTAAATAAATGAAAGGATAGAGTAAATTTCCTTGTTTAGATTTTAAATGGCATAATAAAATTGAGAATAAATTTGTGTGTTAGAAATAGAAATATGACAGGAGGGAAAATTTAGAGATTCCAGTATAAAATAATATAATGAAGTATAATGACAAATGAGTGTAAATGAGTACCAGGTCATTGTGCCACATGCACTGTGACTTTCGCACGCTTTTACAAATGCAGTTCTCTGTACTAAGTTGCTATCCCGTTGCCTTATCAACCAATTTTATTTACTTACATATAATGACAAGTATGTATGAGTATTTACGGTGGATAATGGAAGTAAACTTTGAGAAGATGTTTCGTGTAATCAGTTGAGAGTTAGAGACTTGAAGAATAATTTAGAGATTAAATCGGTACCTCTGCAGGCGATTTAAAAGAATAATGATGATGTGAACCTAGAGAATAGTGGATTATCAACTTATCACTTGCAAGTTCTCATGGCAGTTCCCACCCTTTTTCCAGTGACTCAGACGCTTATTATTTTTCAATCCTGGCTATTGGTCTTCATAACGTTTCTACGTCATGTCATGTCATTATTCAACTAAACTAAGTCTGAAAATTTATTCAATTATTGGAGTATAATAATAGTAATATTTTTTTATTCATAAAAAAGATATTCAGGTGGAAAGAATTCGAAAAAGCCTGGGTAATTACGTGAGAAGAATGTATAAACTTGTTACATTTCCAGTTAGATTTGAATCCAATTGCTATGAGTAAATAAGAATCAAATACGAAATTCAGTGGCCTAAATCAAGTCAGTAAAACGATGAACTCTAGTGAAAATAAAAGATTTCTTCAATTGTTTGTCAAATAATTTCATGTTATTAGTATCATTATAATTATTCTTAGAGTTATAAACTGTGTATAACCCGTGAGATATATGTTATCTACTAATCCAACGTAATTTTGTAATCAAAATTATTATAGAATGAAAATCGAAATATTTTCTTTTGCTTTCTATTTGTTTTTTTTTTATTTTTTTTTATCAAAAGAAATCATTAACAAGTTTATCCATGTATATTTCTGTGAACTTTAGCGTGTGATAAACAATCAACCTACTTCTTTTTTGCTTACTTAGGAGTAGCGTAACGAGTTTAACAAGAAGACAGAAAAGGCAAGAAAAAAAAGGGAAATTTTTGAAAAATTTTCTAGAAAATGATTTACTTAGTTGATTTATTTAATTATTACTTTCAATTCGTTTATTAATTAGTCGTCTTTGCGCAATAAAAACGTGTAAACTTTGTAAGTTTGAACTAATTTGAATAGTTATTATGAATTAGTTCTTTTAAAAGATCGATTATTTAAAGAGATAACAGAATTGCGTGCACTTGCTCTATGTTTAGGAAACCTTCGACCTAGATTAATGAAATGAAACATTAACTGCTTGTAGAGAATTCCAATGATTCCAACATCTGAAGATTAGTCTTGATTTGATTGGTTGCAAAAAATACTTTAAATGATATCAAGAAAAGGAAAACTAATGATAAGATATTAATCGATAAATAAATTTTATAGGTGAAAGAAGAAATGATGATACTTGCCCAAGACCATGGAGTTAATAGCTTCAAGATGTTTATGGCATACAAAGATCTTTTCATGCTACGTGATCCAGAATTAATTGAAGTATTCACATTTTGCAAAGAGCTAGGAGCTGTTGCTATGATACATGCTGAAAATGGCGACATTATTGCAGCGGTAACTAAAATAATCTTCAATAATATGAAATCAATTACAGTAGAATAAATTATAAGAATATTTTTTAAATATAAGTTTCTTTAGGAAACTCGTTTTTTTTTCCTTCGAAATTCATTAAAGTTTTGCAATCAAATTTATAGAACACGAAGAGATTACTTCAAGCTGGAGTAACAGGTCCTGAGGGACATGAAATGTCACGCCCGGAAGAAGTTGAAGCCGAGGCTACAAATAGAGCTTGTGTAATAGCCAATCAGGTAATTATTACATCTAAACAAGTTGTTTACAGTTGAAGTTATTATTGTTGCCAAAGACATACGTTTTTTTTTGAATAATTGAGTAATATTATGAGTTTTATTTTAAGTATTTATATTTATGTAATCATTTTAGAATTTTTCAACGTTAAAATATTTTTATTTTCTCATTTTGTTTAGAAGAATTATTTTCAATAAATTTGCATGAAAATATTTGTTCAGCTTGTGCTATTGAGGCTTTGATGGTGAATAAATTATTGCAATACGGCTAACACTTGATAGTATCACATTGTAAAAAATTATTTTTTGTCTAATAGAAGCACACGTGCTGACAGTTGCACGTTTGAGAATTACGACCGGATGTCGCGACTTGTTTGGGGAGTCTGCTGTTCATTTACTAGTGCTTATGTCTATTATGAACCGTGCATGTTTAGTAGTTTCTAGGTTGAGTCATGCAAAAATTGATAGACCCTAAAAAAATATTGTTGGACATGAGATAATGTAATTCAACTTCTCAATTTCACTAACAATACTTGATAGCTAAAATTAGTAAAATTTGTGAGTTAGAAAAATTAATAAACAGTTGATAAAAAATTGTCGATACTTTTAACGTTGAAATAATTCTCGATGATGAATTATTATACCTATATGTATCAAGTATTCTGAACGTGTTAGATAATGTTTTATTAATGTACTTTTAATGTTGCAATGTTGCATGAATAGAAATACGTATTATATGGCACTTAGGTTGGCTGTCCACTGTATGTTGTGCATGTGATGAGTCGTAGTGCGGCGGAAGTTATTGAATCTGCCCGGAAACGAGGGGTTTGCGTTTGGGGCGAGACTTTAGCTGCTGCTCTTGGCACCGATGGCACTAACTATCGGCACAGCTGCTGGAGACATGCTGCAGGACATATTCTTAGTCCTCCTCTTAGACCAGATGAAAATACTCCGCAAGATCTTATGATTAAGCTGAGCACGTGAGTTTAAGTTTTTTTCGAAAAAATTATTCTTAATCAATAAATGATATAGAGTTTTCATTCAGAAGTTAGATTTAATAATTAATTGTAAAATATGTCGATAAGAAACCGAAAAGGCATGGAATGATGTTAAACAGAGAATCTTCCACGTTCTGAAGTATGAAAAAGTAAAAGAGACCGACCAGTTTTTATATAGATCAGAGCAATCAAACCTGATGGTCATTTCTTGTCATAGACACGGCTCAGGACATGAATTTCAAAAAATTTCTCTCTCATGTCATTACCTTACTTGATTTTAATCATCCATTTCAAACATCATTCTTATTTATTTTTTTTTATCACATTAGGGACAATTACTTCTTACTTATGCTCCAATCTAGCTCAACACATTATTGTATTCGTTTTATTGCCATCAGAGTATTGTCATTTGGTCAACACTGATTTTCACACGTAGAATAAGTGAAAAAATTATTGAAGGAGTTTCGAAGTGTTCATATCATTTATTATATTCAAAACAATTAGATGAATTGCACTTTTTATAGAAGTAGAATTTGAAAGCATGACTTTATTATTTATCAGTTTTCCTTTATTTTTAATTTATAATTTAATTTATTTTTGCCACTGAAGCATCTCAATTATATTTTATATTTATGCTGTTTGTCTTGTTGAACATAGTTACTTGTATCCCATGTTGTAAAATATTCATCTCATTGTAATGATGCACGAGCAATTGAAAGTATGTATCAACTGTGCTAGGACAGTTAAACTAGTCGTTATGTTGAAGAAAAAGATGTAAAAGTATAAATTGATGGAATAAAAATATCGGAGTTGATTTTATTGAATGACGTATGTAGGTAAACTGTCCGTTGTACGTGTCAGCGGTGATGAGTAAATCTGCGGCCGACGTGATATCCGCAAAACGTTGTGAAGGTGGTATTGTATTTGGTGAACCAACTGCTGCGAGTGTAGGCATTGATGGTAGTGAACAATTTGGAAAAGACATTGACAAAGGCCGTCGTTTTGTTACTTGTCCTCCTCTTCGACCAGATCCTACTACGCCTGCTTACTTGATAGAAAAGTTAGCTGAGTAAGTAATCAAAAAAATAAAAATATCTCTATTTGTATACGAATAACTGTAGAAAGAAAAATAAATTGACCTAATATCAATAAAAAAATAATGCTGCGTAAACAGGAAAATAATGTAGTAAAAAGAAGTAATGATGAAAAAAGTAGAAGGAGGAGAATATTAATAAAAAAGTGAACAATATAGAGAGAAAATAAGACATTTTTATTTAAATAGTAAATAGTATAACTAGAAACGAGATTGCAATATAAGTATAAATTTATTGGACTCTCGAATCGGCTTATTAAGGAATAAAGAAAGTTTTGAAATTGAAAATTTCACTGGAAAGCTGAAAAAAACACATCGTATAATTTATAGACTAAAATAATTGCGACTCGAAAGGTGAATAAGAGAATTGAGATAGTATTACAATTTGCAATATAATGTTGTCATAGTAGATAAGTTGTCTGAAAGACTGGTTGAAAGGAATTGAGAATAATTTCTAGCATAATTGGACGGGAAGTGAATGATAAGTGATAGAACAGAGTTTATAAAATGCGCAATAAGTTATAAATTCATAATTTATACAAATCTCTACTGATTAAAAATACAAAAAAGTTGATTATCACTATTGATCAACCAACTTGTTGTTAAGGGAAACTGAATAAATTATAAAGTCAATGCTACAATAACATATATATTATTATTATTACATCATTAATTCATACCTATAAGTAGCAATAAAATAAGATTATGGAGATATTATATAACAAATAATTTACTTATTGTGATTGATTGGTAATCAAATGATTTACCATCTAATAATATTTCGTGAAAATAATAATGTCAAATAAAACAGGGATGGACTACAATGTACTGGTAGTGACAACTGCACTTTCAATGCCGACCAAAAGGCTCTCGGTAAAGATGACTTCTCTAAGATTCCAAATGGTGTTAATGGAGTCGAAGACAGGATGTCTGTTGTCTGGGAGAAAGGAGTTCATGCTGGAATTATGGATCCAATGCGATTTGTGGCTGTTACCAGCACTAATGCTGCTAAAATATTTAACTTGTATCCAAGGAAAGGAGTTATTGCTGTTGGATCTGACGCAGACATAGTAGTTTGGGATCCAAGCAGAAAAAGAATTATTTCTGCCGAGACTCATGTTCAAGCTGTTGACTTTAATATTTTTGAGGTACTATTCTTTATTTATTTATTCATTCATCTATCTGTCTTACTATCAAGCCACATTACTATTTATTAATTTTAATCGTGAGTTATTTATAGGAAAGCTTAAAGAAACGTATTTTTTTCCATTCTATTGTAGGGGATGGAAATTAATGGAGTTCCCGAGTATGTAATCGTTAACGGACGCGTTTGCGTAGACAATTGTGAGTTGAAGGCCGTTCACGGTTATGGGAAATTCATTGAAACAGCTCTGCGTCCACCCTATGTTTATGAAATGATTGAAGACAGAGAAAAGGTGAACAAAAATTAATTTTTTTTTGAATATTTTACTTTGAAATATTTTTCATATGAAATATAATTAATCTATAGAATGTTTTTATATTTTTTATACTTGATATTTACTACCAACTGTGAATAATATGAAACAAGTGGTTAAAATTTTTTGATTAGAAATAATCCTTAATCAACTTCCATAAATTAAGTTTTATAAAAATGTAACTTACAAATGATAAAATAAATAATTTGATAAATATCTGTGATGACCATTTCAATCTATATATATATATATATATATATATATTTAAAAATGTTACGGATGAATTCATTTAGATGCCCAGAGGAGTTGCGAGAACGGCTGCTGAAGCTAAAAGATTTGCTGAAGAGGATGCAGCATTAGCTAAAGCAAGAGAAGCCGCTAGAGCTGCTGCAGCTGCTAGAGCACAGTCTAATCAAACTAATGGAACTCATGAAGCTATTCGTAGACTTAAAATTCAAGAAATTGATTGCACGCCAACATTGCCTGATTCTGCTGTTGTTACTCCTTCAGCTAAGGGACCACGTTTAGAAGGACAAAGGAATCTTCAAGATTCAACATTTTCTATCAGCGGTAAACTTTGATCTTGGATATCTTTTGCACCCCTAATTACCATCTTTTCGACACCCATTACTTTTTGTCTTATTTTATTGTCTCTAAATAGTATTTCTTCTGCTGTGTATTTTGTATTGTTGTTTTTTTTTATTTTCAGTGATTGTTTTGGATGTTTCTCAGCATTTGAATTTTTTTCAAGTGTAATTATTCTGATATGAATATTTTTTGTTTAATTTTTTTAGCTAACCAATACAATATTTTTTCTTTTTCATCTTTCATTATTGTTTAAATTGTAATATTAAAAAATTTTTTTACAGAGGATATTGATGAAGCTCGACGTGCTTGTATTCGTGTGAATAATCCACCAGGTGGTCGCAGTGCTGGAGGATTTTGGTAATTTTTAAATTCAGCTAAAAGGCTTGCTTTTGCGCGGGTATTTATCCAATAAAGAAATCTAAACAAAGTTTAATGAAAACAAAAATATTTATAAATAAAAGAATGATCCTATCACGCTCCTCATTTACACAAATGATATCCTTCTCATTCATTTTCATCTCTTTATAATCATCCCAAATCCTGGGGAAATTATTTCGCTTTCATTTTCGCTACTCACCAAATATTATTAATACATATTTAACTATCTACTAATAAATAATGTAATAAACTCATCAAGGTCTGTATCACCGTCGGAAAATCGCAAGAATCAATAGACAATTATGAATCATTATTTATTGAAATATATCTATTATGCTTATAAACTGCTTTTTCATTTATATACATATATATTAATAAATGAATCAATTCAACATTCAGACACATACTAAACATTTCTGCGTAATTGCTCGTAATATCCATTACTCATTAATATTCATCAACAAGTAATATTAAAATTCATTAGGTGTTAGTTTAATTTATTTATAACAATAGTTAATGTTTATATATTATGTGAAGTATGAAGAATGGAAATGATTCTGATTAAGAAAATTATTATATACATTCACAAGAGGCTAATAAAATATAAAGTATACAATATGATATTCAGACTGCTCTAAAATATAATACAATATTAGATAATAATAAAAAGAAGTTTATGGGTATTATTTAATGTTAGCTTACAAATCAATAATTTTAAGCACTTGATCAGTTAAAGTATTGTTATAAAAATAACTGTGTTTCGTTTTCATTTCATTATGAAACATTGATATAAATGATGAAACAAATTTCGTTTGAATGTTTCGTATAAAATGTGTGTTACGATTGACGATTTTTAGAATAAGTTAACTATATCAATGAATTTTAACGCACAAAAATTTAATACAAATGGATTGTGTAATAACAAAAGAAATTAAAGTTTTTGACGATTTATGGTTTAAATAATATTTATTAAAGTGTAATGTTATAGAATGAATTACGACTATTACTGTATAATTGTTTATTAACATTCAATTTATTGAATAATTGTCATTTAAAGATGTCTTATGACGATATTGTTTTTTTTTCATGTTAAAAATTTATATTAAAAAATAGTTCAATTAGTATCTTGTTTTGTTGTTTGTATTTTATCTATACACACGATAATAAAGTGAGCATGATAATAAAATACAAGTCATCAGAAAGTATCAGACGTATTTCAATTTAGAATAAATTGAAATACAGAAATAATATCGGAAAATAATTGTTTGGAGTTTAACCAATGAATAAATGGAAAATTTTAAAATCAATATCTGGAGCCTCCATTTAATGATCTTTAATAATCAAAAATAAAAAATGCTATTTCTTATTCAAATAAATGCATAAGAAAATAATTAGATAATTCACTGCACTTTGAAATAGGGTCATTAATAAATTTAGAAAAAAATTGATTAAAAAAAATATTGTTGATAATAATACTGTAAAAGTAACATGACACAAAAAAAATTTTTTTAAATAATAAATAAAAAAAAATTACGTTAGCATGTTTGTAAACATATCTTTCTCATTGAATACAAATAAAAAAGAATTAAACACTCAATATTAATTTTACTGAATTAACCATTAAAAAAATAAATCAAAGTTTATAATGAAATAAAAAATATATATTTTTCAAAAAGTTTATATACAAATAAAATTCCGGGTGCAGTGTTTATCTACTTAATTAAATATATTCCCTGTCAGTCGATGTTTATTTAAATATCTGATTGACAGTCACTGTGGGTAATCTACTCCAAGCATTATATCACATCAATGTAAGCCAAGACAAAGCAAAAATATTATAAAATAAATAATAGCTGATAAATTAATTAATTAACAAGGGCATCTAATCTTATTACTAGTATTAACAGTAGATTGATAATCTATTCGTAATAATATTGAATATTCTAAATATTTTAGAAATGAAAATTTTTCTACCGCATTTTTTGATGCTGCAACTTCTTAATAAATTATTCAAAACATTTAAATGATTAATTTAAAAGAGAAATTTTCAATTTTTTACTTGTGATATGAAATCGAGTGACATACTTTTTAAAATTTTTACTGTATACCTCATAAGGCTTCATGTTGCTCTAGTGATTATCTGGTACAAAATTTCGAGATCATTCTTGCCAAAAGTACACTATTCTATATTCTTCAAATCTTCTGAAAGTATCAAAATAGATTGATCAATATTTAAAACAAGTATACATTCACTATACATATTATACTTGATTTACATTTTTTATTTCAGTAAAAAGACATGAAAATCATTATTAACAATTATCCAAAAATCAATTGATAACAATACAAATATACAATATCTAATTATTATTACAATGGAAAAGGTACTCTCATACCTTTTCTCGAAAAAGGTACCTATTTTTAAAAGGGACTATTGAATTCGGATCGCCCACATAATAGAGGTCCATAAAATTTATGATGAAATTTCACGGAAAAATTGACTTTAGTATCCGGATAACATGAAGAAGTAAGAGGTTGTCTCAAGATTTTCGGACATTTTCGTCTTGTTTCGAGATTTTCCGTAAATTCATGAAAAGTAATTGAACAGGTATAACTGAACGAGCAACGATTTACGATAAGGAAATACAAAGTATATGGAAACTCTTAAGAAACGGCCTCTTCTTTTTCATGTTTTCTCGATATTCTATAATTTCTTAATTAATGTAAAATAATTTACAATATATTTTAAGAACTTAATTTCATGTTTTTTTTAAGAAACTTAATTAACGATGTTTCAAATTTTAATTTAATATAATTATCACAATTACTAATTTAATCAGTGTATCATAATACAATTTTAGAGTATACCAGTTAATTTATATGTCTGTTGTAATGTATATGATTGTTTTCGAATAAATACATTAACATATTACATGATTAAATTATGTTGAGCAGAAATAAATAATTTGTTCATTTTATTTAAATATATTCATATATATATAATTTGACAAAATAATATTTAATCATGAGTATCTGGAGTATCTACTTTTTTTCTAGCTTTTTCTAATATCTGCTTCAATTCACACGTTCTTGCTGTGATATACTGAAATATATAGTTATTATTAGCATAAATTATTTTCAAAAACGTTTAAAAGATTTTTTCAGAATTACCCCTGAAGTATTTCTCGATATAGTTATTTGACTATCCAACCGTCTTCCTTCAGTTAAACCAAAGTATTGCTCCAATTGTCTCTTTGACAAATTAAAAAGTTCTGAACCGGTCATTTCTTTTAGTTGTCTTCGGATCCTATAAAATGAAAATATTTGCTACCTTTTAATCCATTTTTAACGGTAAAAAAGTTAAGATGCTTACTTTTCCGAAAAACCTTTAGCCATCAACCACTCCTGGACTTCTCGTGGAGTTGATAGCTGATCTATAAATATGTCGGGAGTCTTAACTACTTCTACATGTTTCTTTTTTTCGCGAAACATTGTAAGTACATATTTCAATTCCTGTTGCATTTTTTCTTGGTCCGAAGGTCCTTAAACATTTTATTATGCAATCAGTGATGAAAAAAAAACATACATTCCATTATTTACCTCCATTATCAGATTTGTAGCTTTTAAGTGTATTAGTTTTACTAGAACACGTAGAGTTTGTATTTGAAGAAGTTGTAGGGGTAGGTAAAGGTGGTGGAGGTGGAACAGAAGGTATTACAAGTTTTTCTAGTTCTTTAGTCACTTTTGAAATGTCCTTAGAATCTTTAAAAGTTGATGTAGATAGAATTCTTTCATTTTTCAGGCTTAAACTCTCACTATCTTGTGATGAATTACTCCATGATTCCGATATACTTTCCAAATCATCTAAATTAAAAACATTGGTAAACATCTATAATACTATCTCTAAATAATATTTTAATAGTGAAAAAAAAAAAATTCAAATACCTTGGCTGGGAGCTTTGACAATCACATGAAGCAACAATTCATAAGCAAAAAAAATACTTTCGTTTTTCCGAAGATTTACTTAGAAAAATAAAACTCATATATGATGTAATGCATTAAGCTAAATAAAAATAAAGATAGAATGCGAATGAAAAAAGCAGTAATGATCTCAAGACTTCACAAATAAGCACAAATAGTTGTAAAATGTATATTCAATCATTTATTAATAATAAAAAAAAAGATTTACATAAATTACATAAACTGAAATACTGGGCGGATAATTGTATCCTTGCTAATAATTAAAAAATAAAAATTCGTTTATGTTCATGTATGTATAAGTTTATTTATATTTTTTAATCTATTTTTTTTTCGTTATGACACGATAGTCGTGACAGGATGGAACACATCAACATTGTGAAATCAATCAGGTTCTAAGTATCTAATTACATTTAGAGATTACAAATATAACGTAATTTTTATTTATTTATTCTATATGTTGAAAATAATTTCACAATGTTGAGTATTGACTTTTCAAAGAACATAGATGATTTAAATAAAAGTAAAAAATTTTTGTTGTCAATCACAAGAATTTTTTACTTTATGAAAAATATAGTGTAGGATGGACACAATAACTCAAAAAATAAATGCAAATCATTTTTAAGACAAAAGCTACATTCAGAGACAAAAAACATTATACAGTAGGTTGACAAGCATACATCATCATTCCCACATAAATCGAGAAACATGATAAAAAATGTTAAAATAAAAATCTACAATGTAATTTCGTAAGTTATATTACAAAAATCCGTAAAAGAATATAAAATAATTATTTCAAAATATTTTCTAAAATTTGGTTAGTTGATAAATACAAAATTCCATGTAAACTTGATTGAAAATATTCATAAACTTAATCAAATAATTGATTTATTGTTTATTAATATTTATTCATGTGCTTTTATTCTCTATAAATATTGTCAGCAAAAATAAAAATCCATGGTAACTCAATCTCTTTGAATGTAGAAAAAATATAATCAATTTCAGAGTCATGGATTTCTTCATAAAACTTTATCTATATTTTTATTATAATATATATTCCACGTACTATTAATTAGTTAATCAATGTGAAGACATGTAATTATATTTTTAAATGGACACTTATAGATTAATTTTATAACACTAATGCTTTGTTCATAGTTTTTAATCTAATCTTAAGATAAATATACGTGTTTTGAGATTGAATTAATTTTATTACTTAAGAATTATTTTATATTTAGAAGTATAATATAATATCCTAATTTCTTTCTTTCTCGATGCTTTTGGTACTTACATGTTCAATTGATATATGAATATAAATACTCTATTCATATACATTTGATTGATAAATCAGTAAAAATACTGATGTAATTAATTTTGTTTTTAAAAATATCGAAATTCACCTTTCTTACCAAGACGCTCTTTGCGTACCCAATCAGCTGGAGCTGGAGGTGGAATTGTGTGAGGTCGGTGAGTGGTTTCTGGTCCAGGACTAGTACTAGTTCCCTCAATTTCAGAATCCTAAAAATAAAAAAATACATAATATTAAATATCCACGCGACCAAACGAATATGAAAAATTTTAAATATTATCGGTTTCATTTATTTACCGCATAATTATATCCATGACTTTGTCTTGGATATCTTGAAGAATATAAGGGATTATTAAATACATCATTATCAGCATTGTGATTGGGATTATGCGGTGTAACAATGGTGTGAGGAACATGAGCAACTACTCCTCTGGAATTCCTTGCTTTCCACCATTTTCTACTGTCGTCTAAAACTTCTAAATATTCTCCTCTCACTACCGTTAATTCTTTATCGTTATTAGCGGTCCTAGGATAAGTAACCTGAACTATTTTAGCATGGCGAGCAATTAGCTCATCTAGCCAAGCATCTTGGGCTCTATCAATAGCAGGAGCACCTCTGGGTCCTCTTTCAATTGAATCTACAGAGATATCGCTATGAGCTCGTGTCTGATCGACTCTTTCTCGTTCTTCTCTTCCGTATAATTCAGATCCAGGCCCATAATTCCGATCGAAATAATCATTACCACGTTCTTCTCTACTCTCATACTCCAAGTAATCGCTGCTGTAATGAGACTCTTCAACGTCTCTGTGGCTATAATAATTATCACCTTGTTGTTCGGGAATCTCATCCCTTTTGGCTTTATCGGCGTTCAAAAGTGAAGCCAAATGATCATGATCCCTTTCTTCTGGAATTGGATACTCTGGAGACCAGCCATCCATGAAAATCGGATGATATGGTGGCACATGACCTTTCCATTGGTCCCTTGGAATCAACCAGGTATCTCCTAGAGAATGCCAGAGCTCCGTTTCCTTACTTGTTACACAGTTTATCAATAAATTGACTGCTTCTCGAGTTAATAGAGGGGAAACAACTTTACTCGGCAAATTCGCATCGTAATTGGTATCATGAGATGCATCCACGATCAATGCTAAGGGTGTAAAGAGGAAATGAACCAACTCTGGAGCATTAGGATCATGAATATGAGCTTTTAACTTTGCTAAAAGGTTAAATGAAAGCTTAAACTTTTGGAAAATGTCGATAAATTCCATTTCTGGTGGCGGTTTCGCTCGCATCGTTAGCATTCCATCACCTAAATTCCTCTTTTTCGACTTTCTATTGCGTCGTCTTCGTTCAAGCTCCCTCGAAGCTGCAGCAGCATGTTGTAGTCGTGCTATAAATTTTTCTATGTCATCGAAACAGTGGTTTAAAATCGTGACATCTCTCTCATATTTTTCTGATGATGTTGAAGATACTTCATCATTGTTTTCTTCTCTATCCGTTGGACCTGAAAATAAAAATTATTCATCAATAGATTGATAGTAAAAAATTTCCAATTAAATTTAACATTATCATGATCATTCTGGGGGAAGGGTGAAATAAAGGTAATAAAGAAAGATACTCACTGCTAGCATTAAAGGCTGAAACTTGCTCACGGACATTGACGCCGTTTAATGGTGGTTCAGGGGGTGGAAGAGCTGGGGGAGGTGGAATTTGACCTCGAGGTCCTCGAGGTGAGCCTCCTGTTGCTAATTTTCCCATTTGCAACATTTTTAAGTCTTCAACTAAGTCCTGAGCAGAAACGCTTTGACATTGGAAGATGTGCATCTCTGCTCGTTGACCCGAACCACTGTCATCGGCTACTGTGAATACTAGAATGTTGTTGTACATTTCCATTGGATCTCGTGAGGTAAAGGCCGTTGGTTCCTGGATAAGAGCTGCTGGAAATCTCTCCATTACAGCCTGAAATTTTTTTTAGTATTTACAAGTCTGTTGATTGATAAATGACAAATGGAAAATCAATTAGAATTATTGCTTACTCCGGTCTCATTGTCCATGATAAGAACCCAATTACGTTCAAGCCGTAATTGCATCTTTTGACTCCATATTCCATTACTTTTTTCTAGCTGAAGAAGACGTCGCATTCCATCAGCTGGATAAACAATTCCTGTTTCTTTTGTGACTGTAAAAGTAGCTAAATGCTCCATCATATATGTTGGTGGTTCATTCCCTCCAGTTCTACCACTTGATGAATTCGAGGGACCACTTGGATTGCCATCTATCAATTGAATTTGTAATTTTTATTAATGAACAAAATAATTTTATTTCTAATGATTGAAAAATTTTCAACAAAATTTATTTTATCAACTACCAGTACCTTTTGTATAGGGTGAAGAACTGTGACCACTGTTATAGTAAGGCATTTTTAAATTGACCTGAAACAAAATAAATAACTTATAAAAAATTTTGAAGGAGTAGAAAGGCATTATATAAACTGTTAATGGAAAATGATATCATTTGTATGCAACTCATGAAACATTTTGCACTTGGAAGTTCTATTCTATTTGATTTGCAAGGCTTTTCTTTACTGACCAGTTGTTCTTGCCCATACTATATGTCGCATCCGGCTTCGAGAAAGAACAACTTGAACGAGACATCCGTACTTGGTGACAGGAAAGCTAAACTACTCTATAGTGAAATAAAATTTCAAGTAACCTAATTCAAATTAATAAATTAGTTTTTCGATATGTTTCTATTACAGTAATCATAAGATAATATATGATTTTTATCAATTTAAAATCCTACGGAAGTTAATATTGTTTTTTGTTAAATAAACAATTAGTCTTGACAGTAATTGAATGGTTAAGAAAATCATGTAAATCACTTATTTTTCAGAAATTTAAATATTATGATGTACATGCAACTGCTATTGCTAACGGTACAGACAAAAAATCGAATAAATTAATACCTACACTGATGGGACAAAAAGTGATGTCAATATTTTTGCTAGTAAACATTGAAACAAGTTTTTCTGACAATTCAATTTTTATATTTTTTTTTTTTCAATGGTAATAAATGTCATTACATGTGAGAGTCCTCAATATTAAACGACAAAATTAGTCGATCACGTTCGACTTTCTCGTGGGCCATTCGAGTCAATCGATCATCCACGAAGAGAAGTGAAACTTTATATTCTTAAACTTTTTTTTCACATTTAAGTATGTAAGACATATAAGTATACTTGTGGGGACAATATCATGTGTATTCTTGCCGAGTACAGTGAGAATAAAGGATGCGGAGGTTTCGGATCGCTGTTTATCTTGATACCATGATCAGAAGAGTCATGAGACTCTACATGAGACGTGCAATGAACTGCATGCAAGATAACGGCATATTCACGTATCCGATGGAAATGAAATGTTTTTTTTTCTTTTTTCATTTAATTTATTTAATGAGAGTATGAAACATCAAAGATTACAGTGTAATTGAGGTAAACTGATGTAATATTATTTGAATTAGAGATGAAAGTGACACAATCATAATCAATTAATCAAAAAGAATGACAATCCATCATTTAATATTTTCAAATAAAATATACAGTTAGGAAAATGTGAATGAATTTTACAATTAATTATTGTACTATTATTAAATAATTTTTATGCAATAACAATAGCAAGATTGCTATGAGAAAAGATGAGAACGTTCCTATGAACATTCAAGGACTCTACTCTTAAATGTCTTGCGACTGCTTCTTCTTGATCTTAAATGTCACAGAATGTCTTCTTGAAATCCATCTAGTGAAATTTCACTCAAACTCAGCTTCATCATCAAAAGATTCAGTCACTAAAGAATTGTTGAAGAAAGTTTGCAAATTGCTTTAACATACTTTGAGATAAATTATACAGAAATAAACAATAGAAAAGTAAAAATTGAGTGAAAATTTTTTATTACATTTAATCCACTATCGCTCATGAAGAACTATGAGCAATAAAAAACTTAACCCTAAACATATGTTACATTGAAAAAAAGTTATTAATTGTATATTGGAAAATAAACTCAATTAAAAACTTTGCATGCTATCAGAAAAAGAATAATTTAATGTAAAAAAAATTTTTTACTAAATAATTGTTTTTTTTAATAACTTTCTCAATTAGTCAATAGAAAGTTGTCAACAAAAAAAACTCAATAAAGATTGTAATCTATTTTCCCACCCACAATTCTGATAATTTTGAATCAAAAATACAATGCACTGACAAATTTTTATCAACTATAAATTATCAACATGAAAATAGAATAGGAAAACAATTTTATTTAAAACTCTCGATTTTATTGAATTCATCAATTCATCTCTGGTTTATTTCCACGAACCATTGAAATTCTTATATATTTATTAGAAATAGCAAAAAATTAATGATCATACACAAATCTGATATCATATTGTAATAAAAACTTGACTTCTTCGTGAAAAAAGTAAATATTACTCAAGATTAAGTGTAGAAAATAATGTGGATTAGTATACCACGAATTAAATGGTTAAATTGTCTATCAAATGAAAAAACAGAATTATCTTGAGTAAAATCTTATCAAACAAAAGTAGAACAAAGCATGATACAGTCAACGTAAGATGTTATAATAATCTGAAATAGTATTTGCTAATCACAAATAAGTACTGGTCTCTTTCACGATCATGTTAAGGTGGATAAGCTGATGCAGTAATCGAGTGGATTGTGTGTAAACAGTATGCTGTCCTATCTATGACTCTACTGGTTCATGCACAGGTGAATCATAGAGACGCACAGGTGTAGGCTGACGATTCTTATAAGGCTCGACGACTCAAGGAACTCATTAACAACCATTCAGAGAAGACTTTTCAAACAATAATAATGATATGAGAAAGAAAAATTATCGTAGAGAGTTATCGTTCGTCTTTTATCACTATCTAGATAACTTGAGAGGTTTACTAAATATTTTTTACGATCTGGTAATGAGTTTTTCTTTTTATTTTTCATAGAGAATTTTCAATTTAAATTGTCTAAGGGCACTGAGGCGTGTGAGGACCGTGGGTAAAATGACTTAAAGTTGAGTATGAATATTAAGTGCTCCAAGTTTCCCTCCCGGGTGTGGACTACGTGTGAACTACATAGGCGTCATACCAACATGATCTATCGCCTTTTCGTATAAATTTTACTTTATGACTTGGCTATTCAAACCTACGCTCTAGGTTTCATGAAAGGTCGATTTGTGATTTACTATTTTAACACTAGTAATTATATTATTCAATGGAGAATTTTATAAAATGAGTTGAGAAAATGTCATTTCTGAAGTAGATAAAGTTCTAAATAAAGAGAGAAATAATAATAACTAGCAAACATTGCGCTCTTATGGTGTGCATATTAATTGAAGAGAAAGTAAATGTTGTAATAATAATAATAAAATGTTGAGTGATGAAACTAAGCTATTGAACAGGAACATCGGATCTTTGTACTATGACAATTATATAATGAAAGGAAGACAAAAGGAAATGTCGTGCGTTTTGCAAAAGTAAAGAGAAAATTTACTATCTATTGAGTCTTCACATAAAGTACTTAATAGTCAATAAGAATAAGATGAGGTGTGTTTTAGTCATCAGCTGACTTCATCATCATATTCTTTTAAGATCTATTAGAAATTTAAATACACTCTAATTATAAATGACTTTTTAAATAACGTCATTTACTAGTTTTATGGTGAAACAATCATTATACTCAGTTAATTCATATTTTAAGATAATAAACCAACTGAATATCTAAAATTAATGTATTACAATGTTATTGCGTTCTTGGCATTCTTTAATCACGTGCAAACTTTCGAACGCAAAATCATCGCCAATCACTGACCCATAACAGTATGTGGCACACCTACTTGCAAGCCTCATGAAAAATAAAATACAAAACATACATTACGTACAGCTGAAGGCTGTTTTTCACTTAAATTAATCGTGAGAGAATGATTAGGCTCTAATGATAAGTGATATCTAAGTTAAATTTAATTTTGTTGATAAAATTCATTGTGTTCTACATTTCAAATTAACTGACATATTGACTATTTATTCTAATGTAAAATGACAATAATCAATCTTAATTAATTACACTCATTTGCACATCATTTAAAGTACTAAACAGTTTGAAAAATCATTATAGTTATCATCAAGAAGTACATTTTATAAATAGTTTCAGGTAACATTGATATTTTTTCAAATGCATGGAAGTAAAATCTCAAATGACATATTTTTTGTTCTGCTACTTATGTTTCTATGCAAAAAAATCCACTTGAACAGCTTGACTCTGCAGAGTTTATATAGATTTAAAGCGAAGCTTTGATTGAATGAAAGCTATTATCAATTAGTTAGACAAAGATATTCTTGAAATAAAATCAGTTAATCAGTCTTTTCAACAAACAAATCTCGTTAGAAAAGCTAGTTAGCACTCAGGAGTATGTTGGACAATTATCTAATCCCATCTAGAGCAGTTTTAGCCTTCACATGGGCTTGTTCAAGGCTACTTCCTAGTTGAGTCGTCTGAAGTAACATCTTCCGGGCAAAGAAAGTTGCACATAAGCAGGTACACTTGGGAACCCCATAGCTATAATTAGAGAAGAGTTACCACACTCGCAGTTCATCGACCGTTACGCCTATCTTGAACGCGCCATTCCGCATTCGATGCACCCAAGGATTTCGTTATATTCATATATGAACCATCCACGCGATACCTCTAATTGTTTTCCAATTGCTTCATTTAGACTTGAGCTTTTAATTAGCTTCGGCCTTTTTTTTTCTTACTTTCTCGATTAATAAAATGAGATATTTGGGATAAAAATAACGCTGGGATGTTAAATTAATTAATTTTTTTTCTTATCATTAATTGTAATATTATTACAAATTGACAATTTAAGTGGATGTATGACATAATTTATGCACAAAAATATAATTATTCAGCAATTTGTACTTGTTGATTTTCCGTTGGACACTGACAACCGCAACAAATAAACTTGACAGAAATTATTTCTTACATGTTATACCTAAACGGGTGAAGAGAGTCACGTGAAATTACTTATGAATGCGCGACTCTGACACGCCCAGGTAAAGAAATAAAATGATGGAATGTGTCATGAAGTAATACTGTCTTATTTGTTGTGTCCTTGAATGTATCTGATAATATATTACAGGGTTATGGAATTTGGGGCACTATTATTATTTTATTTATATACCAAATAATCTCAAAATTAAATTAATCTCTGGTTAATGAAATTTTTTTATTCCAGGATCAATAATGACTTACTAGATAATATTTAATTATTTTTACGAGGTACATTTAAATATTTATTAATTCAAACTAAGTTATTTACAGTAAATAATAACTTTAATTGTTGATTTATATTTAATATCATGATCTTTATGATCAATCCTTGACATCCTTTTGCTTTTAATCTCTCTACGATATATCAATTTTTTTTAACCACGCCTTGGAAAAAATGTACTATAAAATATTTGTATTCTTAAAAAATGTTTTTTTGCTTCACTTAATTCTTCAATAATTCAATGCATTTTTTATAGCGGTATTTACTTGCATCATGTTCATTTTTATATTCTACATTAATTAATCAGTTATCATGTATTTATGTCTATTCACTCTATCATTAATATTTTTTTACTTTAATTAATGGAATAAAAAGTGTAGTAGATGTGCTATTACCTACTATGAATAAATGCTTTCTTTATAATGAAAATTGATGACTTTTTGAAAATATTTTCAATAAAGAATGAAGAAAAAAAATAGTTCTCGTGGAATGTCAAAGAAAAAAATGTTGATTAAGTAATAGGAGAGATGCATTGCATTTACAGGCATTCCATTAATTCTATCCGTAAATCAACTAACTTGAAAATGAGTAGATGAACATGAGAGTTCATTGGATCACGTTCGACCCAAGTGAATGGAATAAGTTTTAATCGACGACATCACACAAATATATAGTTAGATCGTAGGTATTTTATATATGTATATACATATGTTAGTAATATTGTAGAAGTTTCTTCTAAAGTTTATGTAAGATAAAGAGAAAAGAAGATGTAGGTAGAGAAAATGAGAACAAGAAGAGAAGAGAGGAGAGAGCACGACCTCTTCTTAGGAATGCGACTGAAGTGATCCTCATCTCAACTTTATTCTTTTTTACATTATTTTCTCTCTTTCTTTCTCTTTTTTACTTTTAAATGTTTCGACCTCCTCAAGGTAATTCGTATAGCTTTTATTTTATTTTTTAATCTTTGCTAAATTCTTATTTGGCTGTCTACAATGGCGTAAATAAATTTGTAATTGAGCTGGTAATAATAGAAAGGAAATAAGAATGAATAGGCACATACAATTACAGATAATTTTTTATACGAAAAATAAAATGGCTTGATTGACGCTAACAAAAATACTTTAAATATACAATATTCGGTAAAAAAATAATTACTAACTACATGATTACTTTTAAATTATTTAAAATTTTTTTACAAAGATTAGAAAAATTTTTAAACGTTTTCATCCTTTCAAGGTAAGTCATATAACTTTTATGTTGTTCTCTAATGTTAGTTGAGTTCCTTTTAAGTTATCTGGAACGATGGAAATAAATTTGCAATCAAGTCTGTAATGGGCAATGAACACGAATTGTGATTCAAGAAGTTAACAAGTGAAAAAAATTTTTAATTGTTTGTTACTTCAGACACTTGTTTTTTTTTATTATTTAAAAAATACAAACTTGAAGGAAAAATTATGACCGAACAGACAAATTCAAGGCTAAAAATAATTAATTAGAGTTCCTAAAGTGCATTTAATATGTTGAAAGTATAATTTATCAGTCGGATTGTATTATTGGCGATATTTCATACTCTAAAATTTGGAAATGTTATCAGTAGACACCTGATATGAGTCATTAATCCAACATGAACTCACAGGTAGCAAACAACATAATTGAGAAGTATCAAGAGACGATAATGTTCAATATTATGAATGGTTTTGAAAATCTATCAAATATCTGATAGTGGTGAGGTAGAAATGATCAGGTGTTGCATACATATATGTTTAGTTTCCGCGTCATTAATAACGATTTACCGCAGGCACCCTTGCTAGTGAGCTTGTTCAACCACAAATGTAATATTGAAATTTCTATTATCATCATTGACAACACCTTCAAAAGTATAATTAACTATAAATACCTTCAACATAGCAAAATTATTAAATTAAAAAATACAACAATTAAAAAAAAAAACACATAATAACTTGAACAAATTATATGATAAAAAATGATGACTACCAGTACTAGACTATCTATGGGTATTTTTCATTTTTTTTTTTTTTTGCAATATAACCCGCACGAACCTTATCATTTTAATGTACCGTAACATGGCTTAGTTCAACGCAAAACACCGGCATTTTTCTCTTTCCCCCTGTTCCCTTATTACTGCTTTATTCTTTCCACTATGTTCCGGAACATTTTTCCTCAGGTTCTCTTCACCATTTAGAGTTTCCGGAGAATTTATTCAGCATTAAAAATATAATTTGTGATATCATTTCCCATCATTAAGTATTTATTGTTATTATCAATAATATTATTAAAAAATTATGGAAACAATTTTTAATTAACATTAATAAGTACCATCAATAATAACTGTTGAACATAAATTATTTAAAACATGTCTAAATATTGGCAACAGTTTAAAAATATTTCATTTATTGAAATTGACTTGAAAATATTTTTTTTTTTTTTTATTATAGATAATTTTACATCGAATATTAAAGTGTCGAAAATTTAATAAGCACATTGTGTTGTATACACAAACTCCACGTGAATGGAATAAGTAAAAAGGATAAAAGGAAATCGCACGTGAAACCACAAATGCATTTCGCTTGAAAGATCTTATTCTGCACCTGCATATCACGGTGATAACTGATAAGACTTTTTTTTCATGATAACATCCTTCGTCATACATCATTATATGTACACAAGATATCTACGAACTACTTATACAGATGTACATAAATGTCTATAAACTTATTTTTCTTCCAGTTTAGGAATCAACATATCAAAAAAGTGTTTCAAGATCAGCTTAAATCTTATCATTGTTCCAAGATAAAATATTAAAATAAACAAAAAAAAATATTGTTCCTGTGTTAAATCATACTCAAGTCTCATTGTTCTTAATAGAAAAAAATATTCTACATATGTAAATCAGAGTTTTGTTGAGGGAACCCAAGAACTGTGGTCAAGTATGCAACAAGAAAAATATGCATTAAGTCGGAGATCCCGTTAATTTCAATGGAACGTGGCAATTATAAATTTTTATCAATTTTTGATAACGTTTAATATTTTCAAATAATTTGCCATCAACTATTAACTATACTAATGACATAATCTTTTGTGGCACAGTTTTTGTCAAATACTTATTTAGAAATAAAGAGAAATTAAAAGTACTAGACTTCAACGAATGAACTAATTAATCGACAATTAGTAGCTTAATTAGGTGTCAAAAAAACGGACTAATGATTTTTTTGCAATTACAGAGCCACAAGATCGCAAAATGCATCGAGTGTGCGGTCACTTCATCTTTCTCTTGCCGCACGTCAACCACAACAAGAAACATCTGGCTACTCAGTAGGAATGAGGATATCTCGTGGCAGAGAAAATCATCGACTCTACTGGAATTTATTCCTCTCAAATGCATTAACATAAATTCCGACACCTTACTAATATATTCAATAATTTAAGATCGATAAAAATTACTTTTAACTATTTTTAGTAGATAAAAAAAATTGTTTGAGATAAAAAAAAAATACTCTGAAAACACTGATAGTATGTAAATTTGGGAAGATTTGAGATTCATTTATATAGTTGATTACAGGAAATTTGATGTGTACACAGGAAAACATATAGAGAAACATGGAGAACGCCACATCAACTGAAACATATTCACACACATCCTTTTCACCAACTTCCGCTTGAAATAAAATTAATCATACGTCGTTAAACAGGTACTTAGTTTAGCACATCGATAAATACCTTGATAAACACCTGATGATACCTCAGGGGAAATTTTTTCCGGGTAAAGATGACTCGTGGAAGATCTCGTATCGATCTCTTGATCACCAAATACACTAACTATATTCTTTAATTATTATTTTTTACTTATTTCTCATCGGTAAAATTTTTGATTAATACCGTGATTAAAACTATTTTCACAAATTCCTTTCACGAGTATTTAGAGATTGAAGTAAAACAAATATAACACGCACTTATTTACTTACCTATATAATATTTACAAGAAGCAGACGCGCGTTATACGCAACACACTGAGATTTCAGTGAACCTAAGTCCCACTCATCCTCGACTGGAAATACCTGAGCTACTACCTGAGGCCGACTCAACTACAGCTTCGACGCTGGCTTTCTATTACGACCATCGTGATTGGTGGACACTTCCCCACCTGAAAATGCAGGAGATCGGATTCTAGCTTTTAAATTACACGGGTTTCAGGTGCGTATTAAAAATTTAACTCAATATTGCTATACTTACACTTGCTTCGTCATATTTTATTACACATGACGTAGTTTTTTATTCAAAATTTCTTTTGAGTTTTATTTATTTTAAACAATATATTAAGTTGCAATTATTTATAGCAAAAAAAATTTCACTACATAAAACTCTCATGTGGGAAAAGTAGAAATTTTTCATTAGACATAAATACTGGAGCAACCGAATTATCTGGAGACATCTATCGACACAATTGTATTAATAAAAACATGTTTTATATAATCATTTACAATTGAGGGATAATAATTTCTTACTTTATTCATTTGACTTTAATGATACGAAAAGTCACCAACGACTATCTTCCCTTCAACCCTTTTATGATTACTGCTGCTTGTATTTTGAGTCAAGATTGTTCAACCAATAAGTTTCATTTTCTCACAATGACACATATTTTTTTATTCTGCAGCATAATTTATCAATATCGCAATACACATAAATCTAGACTATATAATATTTATTAGCATATGTGTAACATTTATAAACGTATAAGTAGTAGTATATTTGAATGATTCGAGATCAGTAAGAAGCTCCGTTGTAATCGCTAAGCATGAAGAATTCTTTAACAGGAAATATCCTCAAGTTATATTCTGAAACCACAATGAAATTCATAGCAAGTAAGAGCGTGTAAGTTTTGGAATGCTAAAATGCATTGGAAATGAACAATGTACCTGACGAAAGTATTTATTACTACATGTTTATTGTATAGAAATTAAAAAATTTCGATTGAAAAAAGTAGATAAACCACTCAAATTGGTTCTTCAGAAATTTATTTAATATACACTTTTACTAACGATAATTAGTTTTAAATAATCATTAAATTCTTTTAAATTTAAAGTTTATTATTATATTAGCTAAACATTTTTACCATTTACACATCGTTGTCAAATTCACCAGGCTTCTTTCTAACAAAACGTTCGTGTTCTTGTGTGGCCCAGGAATAAACAAAATAAGATATAAAAAATGCTAAAACAACATAGTAAATAATTAATATCAGTTGTAAATCATGAATAAATTATATTATAAATAATACTCACGGGGAACAACTCTCAAAACTTGTTCTCTCATTCTACGAATTATATTAGGTACTCCATGAGATATGACCCCACCAAATGCTTTTTGTTCAAATGGACTTAGTCTATAATAGACTATTCCACGAATTTTGGCGAGATTGCCAAATCTCAAGTGATTTCTTACAGCAGTCTGAAATATATGATTAGTGAAATATGTAAAATTAACCAAAAAATAACATTACATAAAATTAAAAATAGAGCTTCGTTAATAGTTGATCGAATTTTGATTGATCCATTTCCAGATAATTTATAAGATCATTTTTATATCAATTTGTGATAAATAAACAAGAATTTATATGAAAAGTTATTTTTTTATTAATTGTTATGTAATATCAGAAAATAAACTCACAAGACGCATTTTTGCTGTTGAAAAATTAACGTTGACCGTATGAATATGTACGAATACCTATACGGGACTGACGTGAAGTTGATCATGTTGTTATTCCCCAAATTTATGAGATTCATTGCTACCAACTTATTTTTGTTTTTGTTAGTGAATTACGTACCGCATAGTTGGCTATCATGTTTGCGCCATATTGTAAGACAACGACCAATAAAATATGACGTATTGCAACGGTTTTAGGAAATATATACACATGTTAGCGCTTAATCAATAAAACAATTAATTTTCTCATAAGTTAAAATAAAAAAAAAACAAAAATTTTCTAAATTTATTCTATGATTAAATTTTTAAATAGAAAGTATAAATTTTTTGTGTAGCTTCATAATTGTTACATAGATAATATTAATAACTTTACTATTGTTGAAAAAATGAAATTTAACGAATAAAAAAAATTTTTTTTATTTTTTTTCTTTGAAAAAATTTGAAATAAATGCATGTATTAATAAATGACATAAAACTATTTTAAGAGGTTAGCTAAAAAAAAGAGTTTTTTCTTTTTTTTTTTTGAATTACATGAATAAATTTATATTGGCCAATAAAAATGTTTTCTACTTTTCAATGGGCTCTGATTCACTATTCCTCCGTACGGCGGCATATCGAACGTCGTTCACATGAACATGAAATTAAAGGGAATATCCGTAAAGGTAATCCACGACGGCGCCCTGAGGAGGCAGAGGAGAAAGAAACGTTCAGACAGTAGTCCGTGTGCGAAGCTTCGTGCAGGAGAGCGATTAAAAGAGAGTTTTGTTTGCTGTGTATTGTAGCCTTTTTGCCTAATTAAGTCAGTAATTAGTTCATCTATCCAGAAAAATCTTGATAAATAAAATTTTTTGTAGTCTATTTTACTAAGTGTTTCGCTGTCAGCTTGTTAAAAAAACTTGAAAACCATACAACCAAAGTTAATGCTTGTAGCAATCATGATTGTACGGGGAAAGTGTCTAAACATCGAGTTAACTCCTGAATGATTGGAATAGTGTGTTATAAAGACTTTTAAGACATAAAAAGAGTGTGACAGTGAAGTGTATTTGAAGGAAATTGAAGTTATTCAGACGAAAAAGATAATTTTCTCTTGTGCTGCGTAGCTTGTTGGCGTCATCGTGGCTGCCATCGTCGACGTTCTCGTCGTGCATCATCGCGTGCACACGAGTCATGGTGTCCAAGGTAGACGCCAATAATATTGAGAGCACAAGATTCAGCCGGGCTGCTATCAATACAAAAAACATAATGAGTGAGAAACATACAACACGCGGTTGTAACGCTGGTGCTGATAGTGATTTTGAGTTCGGAGCCCCACCAGAAGCACCTGTCTTCGAACCAACAGCCGAGGAGTTCCTGGATCCACTTGCATACATTGCTAAAATACGTCCCATCGCTGAAAAATCTGGCATATGCAAGATTAAACCGCCTCCTGTGAGTGTCTTTTTATGTTAAAACACTTCTTCAAACATGTTCAGACATGTATCAAATCTTTCGGGTATCCTTTGTCCCTTTCAAATTTTCCGTTACTTGTCCAAAAATTTTTAAAATCGTCCCTCGATATCTTGTTTTAGAAAAACAGTTAAAATATGATAAAAACAATATTTTCAAGTAAAATTATTAATAAAGGGAAAAACAGGGTAAATTAAGTAAAACAGACATCGCGTTGGTACGTGACAATAGAAAGGAAAGTGGGGGTAATACGAGGTGAGAGAAAGACCGACAAGAAACAAATGTTGTATAATGCTATTAATCCTCAACAATCATTCATGCAATTGACATTTTTTTTGATTTTTTCGTTATTTTTAGGTTAAAGATAAAATTTGAAATAATTTCTTATTTGTGGATTATTATTTTGTATAACGGTACTATTTAGAACAAGTACAGCACACCCGCACGGCCTTTCGAGTTTTCATGATAAAATGGCCGGGAGGACAATTTTAACAATGTCAGGGAAGGGCATCATTTACTATTTTTCTTCAGAAATATTCATTGGTTTGGTCTTCTTCCTTTATTGCCTCTCTGTTGATTTTTCACTTTGGTATATAGGTAATAGGCAGTGTAACAAGTAAATAAAAAATATCCCACCAAAGTAAATTGGAATTATTGAATCAAATTCGATATCAAAGCCTTAAGTATTCAAGATGTCATTAATTATTTTAACTTACTTGGTAAATGTAAATATGATTATATTCAATAGATTTAGAGTCGATAAAATTTTCTAAATGAGCTTAAAGTAGATAGAAAATTTTTCAACTTTAAGAAAGTAGTTCAAATAATATAATTCTTTGATTAGAATAATGTGTTGTCGGAAAATGGAAAACTTGTTTACATTTTGTTGTTAATCAAAGATATAAATCTTTTAAATTTCGTATTATCTAGATAAATATGAGCTATACTAAGCATTAATATAAAAGGACTAAAACTCCCATGACAGGGAAATTTTCTTGCATCTCTCTCGCTTACGGGTCGATAAAGACAATTTATGATCCCCTCCTTTTTCTCATCCATTATGATGTGTGACGCAATCTAAACAATTTTTATTAATTCTAAAATATCTAAATCAATCGTTAATGTATCATTTTCGGATAAAATTTTTAAAATAATCTTTACTTACAAATATATTAGATTTTAAACGATGAAAATGGTAGGATTGTTTATTCGTAGTTACTGAGTTTTCATGAATTGGCAGTTACAAGTATAACAACATCAACAACAACAACAAAAGTATCTGCAATAGTTGTAGATAATAACACTTGCAAGTTATTCATTGAAACAGTTTGTAAATATGGAATTTCATTGGAATTATATTTTTTAATCAAAAAACTGGACTTACATAAAAGAATATCTTCTTTTATCTAAATAAACAAATTATATAAACTTTTGTAAAGAATCTCAAATATCATTATTTTCATCAAAATTTTTTTAACAGTACTTAAAGAATATTAATAAAGCTATTCCCAATTTTTCAATTAGTTTTTCTCAATGTGAGAATACATTTTCTTAGATATTCAAAATTTTATTTAATTATCGTATAAATTATATTAATTTCAATAGTTCCGATTTCGAATAAAGTAATTGATTTTTATAATTAGGTTGTTAAGAATTTATCCTTTCATCTATTATTTATGATGTAAAAATATCTCAACTTTAAAACTCTATAAATATTTATTATGTTTACAATTTAATTTAATTTTATAAAATAAAGTGAATAAAAATTTCATTAACTATTTCTTATAAAATAAACCCTCTTTTTGATGAAAAATTATCATTAGTAATTAGAGACCATTTTTTGCGAGATATTGATGATGAAAAGGAAACTTTGGGACGCCATTACACGGAATGATGTAATAAAGAGGATTCGTTTCCAATAGAAACTATGCATGATTTATTACTAGTATATTTTATTTTTTAACAATAAATATGTTTGTTAGTTTTTTTACAGTTGACAGCTCATAAAAATATAGTGAAAATTCAACAAGTTGAGTTATGAAGTTACTCAGTAAATATGTCGAATAACTTTGAGAAGCTTTGTTAAAAGATCATCAAATAATGTCTTGTTCATCATTTAATTTATTGTGACGTTTATTCTTTTATTTTTTAATGTGAATGGCATTGATTCGCGTCCTTTACTGTATTGAAGAAAATACGTATCGATTGTACAACTTTTAAACCTCACAAGAGAGTGCAAAAATTGGCAGATGGTAAGCGATTGAACTCTGGGAAAAAACAGAATTGAAGGAAAATAAAGGTGTTACATGAAATAAAAATAGAAGCAGAAACTAATGTTTAATTAATCATTCAAAAATATCTGTTCTTCAAATATGTACTTGATATCTAGAAATAATATTTTTAGTAGGCATAAAAAAAAATTATTATTTCAAAATATAGTTTATTATTGAGTAAATTAAAGATAACATTCGTTTATAATACTAGATTAAGGTATTAAGAGACTAAATCAATTATGATTGATAAAGCATCAATTAATACGCGTTTTCTTAGAGTGATTTAAATAATATTCTAAATCCATTCAAAAACATACAAAACTAGAAACTATATTCATCATTTTTTCTTTCACAGAACTGGCAACCACCATTTGCTGTAGACGTTGACAAATTTAAATTCGTGCCGAGAATACAGAGGCTAAATGAACTTGAGGCTAAAACAAGGATTAAATTAAACTTTTTGGACCAAATTGCTAAGTTTTGGGAATTGCAAGGATCTTCATTGAAAATTCCTTTAGTTGAAAAGAAAGCTCTAGATCTCTATTCATTACATAAAATAGTTAGTGAAGAAGGTAAAAATGAATTTTTTTTTGAACCATCAAAAACTTAATCGTAAGAATATTATTTTGAAAAAACTATTAACATGAATTATTTTCAATATTTAGGAGGTATTGAAACTGTCAGAAGAGAACGACGATGGGCAAAAATTGCAAACAAACTCGGTTATCCCTCCGGAAAAAGTGTCGGCAGTATTTTAAAAAATCATTATGAAAGAATTTTATATCCATTTGACGTATTTAAACAAGGCAAAACATTGGGAGATATTGTAAGTTTTTAAATATTTTTTTTTATCAGTTTATTTAATTTGATTAATTTTAATGCATAATTGTTTACAAAAATTAGAAAATAGAAGCTCCAGAAAACGAAGTAAATGAGAAGAAAGATCGTGACTATAAACCACATGGAATTATATCCAGACAACAGATAAAGCCACCAACAGCAAAATTTTCTCGACGATCGAAGAGGTTTGCGGGTCAAGATGACAAGCAGGATGTGGCTGTTAAGCAGGAAGATTGTAAAGACGAATGTGATTCTGACAACGAGTGTAAAGATGATATTAAATTAGAACTTGATGGAGATAAGGATTCAAAAGAACTTAAAAAACTTCAATTTTATGGCCCAGGTCCAAAGATGGCTGGATTCAATACCAAAGATGGAAAAAAGTCCAACAAAACTCGTGGGATTAAATACACCTATGATTATGATCCATTGGCAAAATATATATGTCACAACTGTGGAAGAGGAGATATGGAAGAAAGCATGTTACTTTGTGATGGATGTGATGACAGCTATCATACGTTTTGTTTATTACCTCCATTGACCGAAATCCCAAAAGGTGATTGGCGATGTCCAAAATGCGTTGCTGAAGAGGTATCCAAACCTATGGAGGCTTTTGGCTTTGAACAAGCACAACGAGAGTATACTCTTCAACAATTTGGAGAGATGGCTGATCAATTTAAAAGTGATTACTTTAATATGCCAGTCCATATGGTACCGACATCACTTGTAGAGAAGGAATTTTGGAGGATAGTTTCCTCGATTGATGAAGATGTTACTGTCGAGTACGGTGCCGATCTTCATACGATGGATCATGGTTCAGGATTTCCTACAAAGACCAGCGTTAATCTATTTACTTGTGACCAAGAATATGCTGAATCAGCTTGGAATCTCAATAATCTTCCAGTTCTTCAGGGAAGTGTGCTAGGTCATATCAATGCAGATATCAGTGGGATGAAAGTGCCCTGGATGTACGTTGGCATGTGTTTTGCTACATTTTGTTGGCACAACGAAGATCATTGGAGTTATTCCATTAACTACTTACATTGGGGCGAACCTAAAACTTGGTATGGAGTTCCTGGCTCTGAAGCTGAGAAATTTGAACAATCAATGAAGTCTGCTGCTCCTGAACTATTCCATAGCCAGCCAGACTTACTTCATCAATTGGTTACAATAATGAATCCAACAATTTTGACTAATGAAGGTATAAAATAATTTCAGATTTTGATATTTAAATGTATAGGTTGTTTAATAGGTTATTGATTAAATTTCAGGTGTACCAGTATTTAGAACGGATCAGCACGCGGGTGAATTTGTTGTCACGTTTCCTCGAGCTTATCACGCAGGTTTCAATCAAGGCTATAATTTTGCTGAAGCTGTAAACTTTGCTCCTGCTGACTGGGTATATACTTATGAAAAATTCAATCAAAACTCTGATATTTTTAATATTAATATTTTCTACTTGAGAGGAAAACAAAAAATTCAATATTTCTTGACTTATTTATTCATCTATTTTGTTTAATATATTCATTAATACGATTAATTATTTTCCAGTTAAAAATCGGGAGAGAATGTATTGCACATTATTCGAATCTGCGTCGATTTTGTGTATTTTCCCATGACGAATTAGTTTGCAAAATGTCATCGGATCCAGATTCTTTAGATATTGGTATAGCTGCAGCAACATACCAGGATATGTTGCAGATGGTTGATGATGAAAAGAAACTTCGAAAAAATTTACTAGAATGGGTAAGTATTAAAACAATTACTCCAAAATATTAATTTCTAAATTTATTGAAATCTCCAAGTCCATTGTAAATAGAATGAAATAGTCTATACATAACATTTTTACAAATACAAATTCAATTTTTTAAAATTTAAAACATACTAAATTATAAACAATGATAACATGAATTTCCTTTCATATTAAATTTATGTTTTTAAGTTTTGTTAAATGTATCATATAGCACGAGGGATTGATATTGAGTATAAATTTGATATAGTTTGATTGGTTACTTACACACACATATAAATCGCTATAATTACGATGCTGATTGGTTGTTGGTGGCTTGCAACTAGCAACAGCCTCAAATCAAACAGTCGACGCGCGCACAAACACATAAAATGACTGTAGAGTCCGCGTGTGTGCTATGTATCCAATATATCTATGAACTTGTCTGACTAGTTGAGACTTGCTTGCCCACGTTACAAGTAATAAAAAAATGTTTCTCGGTTAATGTGCGCGCGTTATTAATTTACTCGGCGGTTATTTCTTGCATTATCATTAAGGTTGTTTCAAATAACCGGCTAAAAGACGTCTTCCTCGTGTTACCGCGTCGACCTTGAGTCATTTTAGCTTATTGTGTATGCATTTAAGTTGATTATATAACAAAATTCAGTAAGAAAACGGGTGAGTTGAAGAGTCATGTTAAGGTTATGTTGTTAAAACGCCACACATTCGTGTTTGTGTAAACGAAAAACGTTTTTACAATCATTTCTATTTATTTTCTTACCTTGTTTTGCTTAAAAATAATTGATTTAATATTTAGATCTGTATTTAAGTGTTTAATATGATAGATTAACCTCAAAATCATTTGAATAATTGATTAGTAAATTTTGTTACAGCTGGACATTCTTCCCCGGTCAAATTTGTCTGCTAATTTTCTTTTGTTCTCTATTTGTTGTTTTTTTTTTTTGTTAATTCTATTTGAAATAGGCAACAAATTTATTTCAACAGTTGGAAAACATTAAAATAATAATAATAATATGTTAATGAAGTGTAGAAGTAAATCAAGATTTTTTTTTTTAACCTTAAAGCTACAGTTCAAACGTATGAGGTATACAATTGATGTCTTCATAAATGTGCAAACAAGGACATAAGAATAGTCTCTTTGTATAAATATCAATCAATAACCATCTTTTCTGTACTCTCTCTAATTTTAAATTCATTTATTAGAATATATTGAATGTGTTGATATTTTCAATAAATTTCTCATCAACACAAATTTCACGTTACAAGCAAATAAAAATTTTAACCTGTATAAATATTTTTATTCGACATATTATCAATCTAAAATAAATATATATTATTAATATATTAATAATATAAATGAGTATAAAAGTTTTAACAATAAACAAAAATATTTTTTGGTTATAGGGTGTTACCGAAGCAGAACGTGAGGCTTTTGAGTTATTGCCAGATGACGAAAGACAGTGTGAGACATGTAAAACAACATGTTTCCTTAGTGCGGTGACCTGTTCATGTCAGAGTAATCAATTGGTGTGTTTGAGGCATTTTAGGGATCTTTGCAATTGTCCTCCGGAGAAGCACACTCTTCGTTATCGATATACACTTGATGAACTACCCATAATGTTGCAAAAACTTAAACTCAAGGCTGAGTCTTTTGACTCATGGGTAACAAAAGTAAAGGAAGCGATGGATCCTAAGGCAGAAAAAATAGAATTAAGTGAACTTAAAGAATTACTAAGTGAAGCGGAATGCAAAAAGTTTCCTGACAGTCAACTCTTGACAGCTCTTACAACTGCAGTTCAAGATGCAGAGAAGTGTGCTAGTGTCGCTCAACAATTGTTAAATAACAAACAACGTACAAGAACTCGACAGTCTGTTGATACTAAATATAAATTGACTATTGAAGAGTTGACACTATTTTATAAAGAAATAACTAATCTCTGCTGTGAGCTAAAAGAATCTGATGGTGTAAAATATATTTTAGATCAAGTATTACAGTTTCAGAAAGATGCAGAGGAATTAGAATCTAAATGTGACGACTGTGATGTAGCGAAATTAGAAAAATGCATTGATTTTGGTGATTCTATTTGCATTGAACTACCACAATTGACAAGATTGAAACAAAAATTGAGTCAAATCCAATGGCTTGATGAGGTAAAATCGATGTTAGATGAATCTAAATCTGTAACTCGTGAAGATTTAGCTAAATTAATTGAAAAAGGAATGTCAATACCACCTCACATAAGTATAGAAACGATGTTATCAAAGCTTCAACAACTAGTACTAAATATTGATAAGTGGGAAGAAAAAGCTAAAGGATATTTGCAAGCAAAGAATCGACAGAGTATTACTGCCTTTGAAGAATTAATTCAAGAAGCTGATGATATTGATGCATATCTACCAAGTTTAGATAGTCTTCAAGATATTTTAAATAAAGCTAAAAATTGGACAAAAACTGTCGAAGAAATTCAGGCTCGAGATAATTATCCTTATTATGATACTCTAGAAGACCTTACTCGCAAAGGACGAAATATTCCTCTTCATTTAGATGCTCTTCCAATGCTTGAGTCAACATTATCCCAAGCAAAAGTCTGGAAAGATCGAACGGCAAGGACATTTTTGAGAAAAAATTCACATTACACATTGATGGAGGCACTTTCTCCTCGGATCGGAGTTGGACAACCAGGACAGCAGAAAACGAAAAAGAACAAAGGAGATGAGGGTAATGCAGTTTTTGTTTGTGATACAAAACTTGATGATTCTAGTAATTCAGCAAATGTTGTAGCTGCTTTTAAATCAGCTGAAGGTCGGGAAATGGATGCTATGAGAAGTTTAAGAAATAGAAATATAAAAAAAGTAACTTACGAAGACTCGAAGTATTGTGTCTGTAGAAAACCAAGGTTTGGATTGATGCTTCAATGTGAATTGTGTAAAGATTGGTTTCACTCCAATTGTGTACCTCTTCCAAAAACTACGTATAAAGGGAAAGTTCAGCCAGCTAGGGAAACAAAATTTTTATGTCCTTGTTGTCTAAGGTCAAGAAGACCGAGATTAGAAACTATTTTGGCACTTTTAGTTAGTCTTCAAAAAATTCCCATACGATTACCAGAAGGAGAAGCTCTTCAATGTCTCACAGAACGAGCAATGAACTGGCAGGACCGTGCCAGACAAGCTTTAGCAACAGAAGAAGTTTCTACAATTCTCGCCAAACTTTCGGTACTTTCTCAAAAACTTTCAGAAGCTGCAGCTCGTGAAAAAACAGAAAAAATCATCAGCAGTGAACTTAAGAAAGCGGCTAATAATCCAGAATTACATCAGCGTGTACAAGCAATAGCACCATTGAGTGGGGTACATTCAGATGAGAGTGTCCCTAGTACAGCTGTAAGTAATGATTCTAATGTTAACTTAATCGTCAAAATATATCTTTATTTTGAATTAAATAACTTTTTAGATGATAGTCTTTATTTATACTTATTTTTTTAAATGTTCAGGAAGAAGAAGAAGACGATTTAACTGAGGGTGAGGAGCCGTCCTGTAGTACTTTTAATAGTAATGAACATGCTTATTCTTATGGTAAAAACCATTTTGCTTTTACCCATATCAGTTAATAAATTAATCAATCATCAAGATTTACGTTGATTGAGATTCTATAAGATAGAAAAATTTAATTAACTAAATGCCTATCTATCAAGATAAGTAATTGAATAATGCTGTTTCAATAATTTTTCTTTTCATCTAATAGTACATGAAAACGTACTCTAGCTTTTCATTGAGTATAAATGTAATATCTAGTCAATTGAAAATTTTATCTCAATGATAGATTTAAAATAATAGTTATTTGTTCGTATCATTTTAAATGATTATTTATACCTCCAAATATTATTCATTTTTAAATGAGATAGATGAGTATAGTAATTTAATATCATCAAGTCTCAATTTTTAATTAATAATTTATTTCATAAGAATAAGGATAATGTTCATTGTTTTATTGTAGTATCAAAATTACAACGAAAATTACAAACTCAAAACTCCGATACCACCATCGTTTTATCTGCAGCGATGAAAATTAAACTGGAGGAATTAATGATGGAAGGAGATCTTCTAGAAGTGGCACTTGATGAAACTCAGCATATTTGGAGAATCCTTAGCCATACTAACAGCCCTTCCACCGTTCGCAACTATGCAGCTTTCGAAGAAGTTCAAGCCAATTTCAATGCTGATACAAAAGATCCTAAAAAAAGAGGTAGAAAAAGGAAGTCAGACGAATTTGAAGTCGTCAAAAATGTCAGTCGACCGAAAGTTGATGAAAAAGTCATCATGAAGAAGAAAGGATTGATTAATAAGGACAAAAAAATCATTCCATCTCAAGGACAATTAAAACGTGGGCCAAGAAAGGTTAGTATTATTTTTATTTTTAAATAGAGATTTTCAGTGACAAACAAAGTTGAATTTCAATTTTAGATCAAGCGAAAAGAAGGGGACGAAGTTCCGAAAAAAAAAGGAGGCAATAGAAAAAAAACTAAACAGGATACATCTGATGAAGAAGATGATTGTGCTGCAGATAATTGTCTCCGGCCGAACGGTAAATTATTTTTCCATTTTATATAATAATTTTCAGTTATTAAATGTAACAATTAATTATATTTTACATAATACTTAAAGCTGAAGAGCAATTTTTTCTTACGACAATTCTACAAATTCATAGTTTTTGATCGTAAAAATTATAATCATTACTGTTAGTTGGAAGTAATTTAACATAAAAATTATTTTTAATTATAATATAAATTTATTTTGCTTGCTTGTTTATTTATTCATTATTATTTTTTTTTTATAATGAAGGACGTGAAGTTGATTGGGTACAGTGTGATGGTGGATGCAACGGATGGTTCCATATGCACTGCGTCGGCCTGGATAGAACAGAAATTGCTGAGGAAGATGACTACATTTGCAGTAATTGCAAGGACGTGGATCAAAATACAACGGTACGAAAAGTCAGATAATTATCATCTTTTCGTAAACCGTGTATTAGAAATTTCATTTAGTTGCCGCGATATGTCAGTTATTATTTGATTTTATTTTTATTTTTAAATTGAGTTTCGACTCGCATGAAGGCTGGTGCTATTTTGAATCCTATTCTCTCTATTTTCACTCATAAAAACTATTTTTTTGCCTCGTTATCATTTTTACACTTGATAATCAATTCATAACTAAATTCATTTACATTTATGTCGAAATATTCTTATTCATATTTATTCACTTTGTATAAACGAAGCCATACAGTTATTTTGTATTCTTATTTTAATTTTTTCACTTTTTTGTCTTCCGTAGATTAGAACAGATATATTGAAGTTTAAATAATAAAAAAAAAAATTTACTTCAATCTTCAGATAAAGATCGTAATTACTCTTCTTATGTTTGAATATATTTAATTATCAAGTATTTTTAATATGCACTTGACGATGTGTTATTTCTAGATATATATTCTTTATGTACAGAACTTGCGTAACATTCATTTTTAAGTATAACATTTGCTTCATTAAGTTGTAAATTCACAAGAAATAATTTTTAAACTCAAATACTTGATAATAATACGAATTATTAATATTTTCTTAAATTAAAGTATAGAAAATAATACTTATTATTTTCTTTCTACAGTAATAAATATTTTGAGTTTAAAAGTTGATTTAATTTTATTATTGACACATGAGAAAAAATTGCTCGGAGCTTATTTAATTGAAATTTAACGATTATACTATATATCATTTTCTTACACTAAATGTAAAACGTATAAGTTAAATGTGAATAGAAAGGCAAATTTATTAGGCTTGGATGCACTTCTATCCCTTTCTTAGTCCCAGGGTTACCTGAGCGGGGACAATGATGATCAGGACATTGAGGAAATCGATTCCTACGAGCGGACTTATTAACTTCCTTCAAATAAAGCACCGCACAATAATTCTAGAAGACAGACAAACAGCGTCGAATGCAAGAAAATCATCTCTGGTCCTCAAATTCATCCGTGAAATATTATTTTCCTTTTTCATTGATATTAATTATAAATATTAAATTATGTCTATAAAATATATTTATATTCCCTTCATGTCAATTGCGGTGCATGTAGATAGACTGAAAGAGAGATGTATTTAAAAAATAATAAGTAAAACTACGTAAATGTAAAATGTGACTATAAAATATGGAGTGTTTTTATGGCTGATAAAAACAAAGTAATTTTGCACTGATGGATAAAAAGCGTAATCATATCTACTTGGCCTTTCCAAAATAAAATAAATCATTCATTCAAATGACCATACCACGTATGAATAAATGTTTTTGTTTTTTAATTTTTGTTAAATCAAATAATTTGAGTTATAATGACATTAGACTCTTTTTGTTCGTACAGTTTCTAAATAAAATGACGAAAAACATTTGTAAGAAATAATTATATCTCTCTGTAACAAATATAATTTTTATTAAATAAGAAATAACATAATAATTATTGATAGAGCATGTAAATATGATGATGAAGTACTTTATTCATTTACGAATAATTATAATGAATTTTTCCTTAGTTAACGAAAATGTCGTTTGAAAAGTTTTGCATTTGATATAAACGCTGTAAAAATTATCTGCTCTTTATTATTTTTATTTTAATAATTGTTCTTTTGTTCTTTTTAATTTTACAAATAATAATTTAATATTATTTCGTATATTAAGAATAAGAGAATATGTAGCGTTTATTTACGTATTGTATAAAAAAATAAAAAAGAGTTTTATTCTAGAATAAAAAAATATTACATCTTAAAAAAACAATAAAAAATTAATAATTATTATAAGTGGTAAATAATTAGTTCACGTATTTTTATCACGTGAATAAGACACTCTTTGTACAATTATTCATTGTTACTGATGATGATTAATAATGTCCTTATAAATCTTTAAGAAACTTGATAAACAAAAGAAAAATTTACAAACAAAATGTATGTTAATTAAATTTAAGACGATAGCACAGTATGTTTTAAATATAAATATATACGTTTTTTTTTATTTAAAACAGGCTGTGAAAAAGATATATAATATCAATAATGACAACAATAATAATAAAGATAGAGTCCAAAAGTAATTTACTGATATCAGACAATTATAATATACCCGTATATTTTTTTAGATTCAATCAAGGAGTCTATTTTTTATTCCACCAATATAACAAGAATTCCTGGAATGCTGTATTGAGTGGATTCTACACCTATTCTACAACTTTTAATTTTTCCTGATTGGATTTGTTTTTTTGTATATCTTTCTTTTTTTTTATTTAACTTTATTACTATTTTTAAAATCAATAATCCATGAAATTTACTAAAAACAAAAACAACAACGATCTATCTACATATTTATATTTTTTTTTCTCTGTTGCACTTGGTCCATTATGTGTGAGATAAACATTGTTATGTGTATAGATCATATATAGTATATACAAATTTAGAAGTTGGAGTTTTTAGAGGTCGATGTCCCCAAACCCGAAAGATTCAAAGAAGGAAGATTCCCTTGATGGCCAGACAACATGAAAGTGGGAAGGTGAGAAGGGACAGACAGAGACATAAAGGATGAGCAGGTGAGAGGTAAGGATAAAAATAACATTTCAGTTAATATATAGGTATCTTTATAATCTTTTATTTGTTATTTCAATTAATCTATTACATTGATTACTATTATTAATTAAGATAAAAAATTTCATTAAAGTTTTTTTGATTTTTATCATCAAGAGTTTCATCTATTTGTCGTATAAATTTTTTTAGAGTAAATGAATCATCTATATAGATTTTTTTATTCGAAAAATCAATTTAAAAAATGACTCATTCACCTATAGTATTACATCTAAACGATCAGTATGACGAATTAATCTCTGACAAAGTTAATCATCAGACGTTGATTTTACAATGATATGTCAACATCAATCTAATCTATGACTATACATATAATATTTTTTTTTCTATTACATACTAGACTGTTACAATTGTTCTTGGGTTTCGTCTTCGAACTTATAAATTCGGTATGAATAAACTTTGGAGTATATGCTGTTGTAAACTCAAATGTAAATGTTAATGCGGTAGTGACTATGGTGACAATGATGACAATAGGTACAAGAATATTGCAGTGAAAGAATTCAGGTCGACCCACAGCTTAAAATTTCAATTCATAGGTGATAATTCTATCATACTTATTTTCATGTACTTTTTTGAAATTTTTTTCATTCATTTTTAGCCAACATGATGAATATACAATTACCATACTTTTAATACATGTAATCATCATGATAATTAATTAAGCATCAAGAGTAAAGAAATATTTTAAAAACGAGTAACATGAACACAAACGTTGCTTGTTTAAAGGGTCATCGAACTATCACTTTATACGTATAAAACACGTATTAGAGATCTGGATGATTCTTGCTTAGTAAAGAGATGCAAACAGGAACAAAAGTCAGCTTTCCCAGTAATCAAATGTTGAGATTAACACTATTACTCTCTGTACCCATTTCATTTTTATACTTTCATTTTTCAGTCTTGGTTTTTTTTTATCTCTTATATACTTGAACCAACTTCCTGTTGATTTATCAATACTCTAAATCTACAAATGGGTTTGTTGAATAAATTTCTTAAACTTTTAAATATAAATAAATTTAATAAATTTTATTTGCAGACAAAGATCAATTGCACATTAATAAATCAATTTGTGTATTTATCAAAATATTAATTCTGTTAAAAGAGATAGGAAAACCTTTTAATTAAATGTGAGTACAAAGTGTTGTATAGTGCAAATGTATGAAGCTGGGAGATTGAATGGTGATTCATCAGATTCTTTAATATGAATAATACCACCTTTTTTAGTGTATATACCAGTTCTATTATATCGATTTCGATCTGTTTTGCATGTATAGTGTGCATTAAATTACTTACATAGCAGTAAGCTAAGCAATTTATTCATAAAAATGTGATGTCCCGATATATATAGATAGTTGTACCTATACTGGCTCTTTTATCCGTACCCACGTAACATTTTGCGGATGAGAGAACTATAACTTTCACGACGTAAGCAGAAAAGAATTTACGGGCACAAGGTCGGGCCTAAGGGACTGGGATCAGTGGAATGTACTTTGTTTAATCACTGTAAAAGTAATTTTTATTTTTTATTATTTTTCCATTTGATTATATTATTAAATTTAAATTTAGAAAATGATACAATTAATGGAATAAAAATTTTGCAAATGACTATCATTGTCCGTTAATAATTACAAGTAATCTATCATTTAACAACTGTGATATGAAATATTCGTGGGCGTTCAAGGGATTGAAAATGACTAAAAACTAGTAATTATGAATGCACGGTTGCAAGTTGAATATGAATATTATGCACAATGTCTGTTTCGAGTTATAGGTTCAAAGCTCTTCCTTCATATTTTATATTTTTGTATTTTTTTCCCTCTTTCCCTCTGTTATGAATATGAAATTGTGGTCGTAAAGGAGTTACACATGTATGAAGCCCATTTAAGTTTGAGCAAAATTTTTTAATTGACCAATTTACTCTGTCTAATTTCATCCTTTAGTATTTATTTTTAGTACCATACACGTTGACATGATAAAATTATTTATTAAAAAGTTGTTCAATTATACAATTAAAAATTCTAATAAATGTTAAAGACATAATTGTTTAGTTTTTTATGTTAATTTAAATGTGAATTTAATATCAGAATAAGTAAAAGGTATAATTTCTTAATGTCAATCATTAAAAAGGTAATTTCAAAAATGACGAACTCCTTTTATGTTATGACTTTGTAAGTACAACTGCGTGCGATTGCGCATGTTGCGTTGTACACGTGTTGTACACTGAAATATGTACATTAAACAAAATACAAATGAGTCAACTTTAGATGGTAACAGTGTCGTTGTAGGATAACACTAAACTACGCAATACGCATATGTATAAATATTATACACAAGTGATGATGATGATGATGATGATGATGATGGTGATAAAGGATAGAGGCAGGTCACAATGACTCGTAGTGACTCGCGCAGGTCAAAGTGTTTATGGTGGGGCATCACAATCCACTGTATTTCGGTGTTCAATCTACCGCTGTAGCTCAGTGAGCTCAGTTTGCTCCGCGGCTGGCTAGTGAACAGATGGTTTATATTGATTTTTGTACTCCACAATATACGTCAAGACTCTGGGAAACGTGCTTTAAATATTTTCAATAAAAGCACTAAAATTTTATTCTGTGTAAAAAGGTTTAAGAAGATTTTTAACAAAAAGTTTTGTTTAAGTGATCAAAAAATTTATCAGTGTAATTTTCGGAGTGAATTCGAGTGAGACGCGCCTGGAGAGAAGGATAAAAAGTCTGTGAGTGAGAGAAGGAAAGAAATAGCGAGGGTGAGCGGGGCGTGGAAAAAGGAGACCACGGAAGGATTCAGGCAACATGGCCACTACAATCGACGACCGGCAGGAACTCTTGGAGCAATTCCAAACGGTAAGTTTCATTTTTCAATTTTGCTTTTCTCTAAAATAATGTCATCAATCACTTTTAATTTTTTTTCAATGACAATTGTTTCAAAAAATTCTTAAAACAGTGAAAAAATAAATAAGTTGGATGTGAAAAGAGGGATTAAATGAATTGAAATGATTTCGGGGAATTTACAAGGCGTCATACTGAGCTTCTCTAATTTCTTTATCGATCCTACGGTTATCACATGCCCTCGTGAGTTACCTGTCTCACCTTCTATTTACTTGTAAAAGCCTCGTGGCTGTTGATCCTTTTCTGCACTTTGCCAATCGGCATTCTTAGCTTATCACTCTGCTTTTGTCCCTTTAAACTTTCAAAAAATATTCCTTCAGATTTTTTTTTACTGTACTTTGATGTCTTTTTCTGATTTTTATCACAATAATGGATACTTTGAGTCTCTTAAAGTTATAAAAATTCTTTTTCATTAACATCAAAAGGTATCAGTGAAATCTTGAATTTAATGTTTGAAAATTTAAATTTATTTTATTAGAATTAGATTTGTATATAACCTTTTCTTATTGGTATTTTCAGTATGATTTCCCTTTTTAACCTAACCATCTATGACTCAGGCAATTAATAAATATGTAGGATAGGCCCGATGAGAAATTTCTGGTTTTATTATGTTTTAATATCAAGAGTCCATTTGAGTATGTGTTATTTTCAAGCATAAAAATACTTTCTCATTTTGATTCAAGTTTATTTAGAATTTTCATAAATCAACATCTTTCATGTTTCCAAGTACTGCATTTCTTTATTATACAAATGTTTAAGTAACCACAAATCTAATTGA